AAGTATCATCCTAAGTGAAACAAGCCAAACAGAGAAAGACAAGTTTCATATGATCTCACTTATTTGTGGAATATAATGAACTAAACAAACTGCTGAACAAAATTAACCCAGAGACATAGAGGTGGGGTACAGACTGAGAAGCCTCAGAGGAGAGGGGTTTTGAGGGGGAAAAGATAACCCACGGAACTTACATGCATGTATGCATGACCAATGAACATAGACAACAAAGCTGGGGTTGGGGTGGGGGTGGGGAGGGAAGGAGGTTGTCAGTGGGGGAAAAATGAGAAACATCTGTAACAAAAACAAATTAATAATAATAATAATAAAGATGTAGTTTCTTAGTTATTTCATCACCTATAACAAACTTTAATGTATGAGGTTTCAGGGGTTGTCAGTTTTATTTTCTATTACTTATTTTTATCAAGTATCTTTCTCTCAAGAACCCAGGTACAATATCCCCAGGATCAGAATAGCAGGGTCTGAGTATCCAGTTTCTTCTTTCATAGTGTCATTATTGTGACAACAGCTCTCCATATGATTCCTTGCTGTAATTTAGCATAAGGTCCAGTTTTTTCATCCAGCGTCTTTTTCAGCTCATCCATTTAAAAATTCTTTTCTTTATTGATTTTAGAGAGAGAGGAATGGAGAGGGAGAGAGAGATGGAAAAATCTATGAGAGAGAACATCGATTGGCTGCCTCCTGCATGCCCCCAACTGGGGATTTGACTGACAACCTGGGCATGTGACCTGATCAGGAGTCAAATTGGCAACCCCTTGGTGCATGGGTTGATGCTCAACCACTGAGCCACACTGGCTGGACAGCTCATCCATTTTATAAGATCAACTGGCATCCATACACCTTTGACTGAGAAAATATTTCACCCCTATCTTAAATGTCTTTTATGAGCTCTAGAGCCAAATGCAGTAGAGTCTCATTATATACCCACTTCATTTATACAAATTAAATTATGTATGTTTATGAGAGACAGGGATGGAATGGAAGAGAAGAATGAAGGGGACAAGAGGGAAAGAGAGTAATTAAGTAATATGGCCAATTCCATCATCCTGACAAATCTGTAATGAATGAATTGGGTAGAGTGCAGTGAATCCATAGTCCACTTGTTTCATTTCAGTTGAATGTGGCTTGAACCTGAATAGATGGAACAGAATGCAATGAATCTATGGTTCCGTGTTTCATTTCAGTTGACATATGGCTCGCAGATTGTGAACATCACATTGCCCTTAGCATGTTTAAAGACACTATATTGCCTTTATCATGTCACTTAACACAATCCAGCTACTTTGGGGATTAACTGAAGAGTGATTGGCTCTGGCAATGGAAGAAAAACTGACTGTATTGAATTTGTTGACCAATGAATTAGGATGCCTCTTCCATAGGATGCCTTCCTGAGGGGTTGTCAAGGGAAGTTTCAACAGTGTGGTTTTGGTTTGTTTGTTTGTTTGTTGTCTTATGTGTTATTTTCAGAGGCTGATGTGTGTAAACTGATTCTTCCATATTCAAGGGTCTCCTGGTTCTCTCCAATTGTAGGTCCCATAAGCAGCTTTAATCCCATGCATTTTTCCCTTTATTTTATTTTATTTTATTTTATTTTATTTTATTTTATTTTCTTAACTCATCTTTACTGTTGAATGTATTACAGATGTCCCCTCTTTTTTCTCCATTAACCCCTCCTCCCCAATCCCACCCTCCTCCAGCCTTCCCCACACTGTTGTCGGTGTCCATTGGTTATGCATATATTCATAGAAGTTCTTTGGTTTATTTCAGCCCACCCTTCCTCCCCCCTTCCCTTTGAGGTTCATTAGTGTAACAACCAATTTGTACTTCTTAATTCCTTCATCTTTTTCACTCATTCCCCAAACCCCCACCCATCTGGCAAGCAACAAAAAGTTTTCAGTATTTATGAGTCTGTTTCTGTTCTGCTTGTTTCTTGGCTTTACATACTCTACTATTGAGTCCCTGTAAATTATTCTTTATTTCAGTTAGAGCATCCTTTCTTTCTGACTGGTCCTTTTTTATGTTGTTGATGTTCTCACTAAGTTCCTCGGAGGTCTCCTTAAGTTCCTTGAAGGTCTCACTAAGTTCCTTGAATGTCTCACCAAGTTCCTTGAGCAACCTTATAATCTGTTTTCTGAACTCTGCAACTGATTGATTGCTTATCCCCATTTTGTTTAATTCTTTTCCTGGAGTTTTGTTCTTTTCTTTCATTTGGGACATGTTTCTTTGTCCACTCATTTTGACTGCTTCCCTGTAATTGTTTCTATGTATTAGGTAAAGTTGCTATATCTCCTAGGCTTCGTAGGGTGGCCTATTGTTGTAGGTGTCCTGTAGGATCCAGTGGTATAGCCTCCCCGATCGCCCCAGCTGGACCTTCGAGGTTCACCCCTAGTGTAGACTGTACACACTTCTGTTGTAATTGAATCTTAATTGCTATTGGCACATCAATGGGAGGGATTTACTCAGGCTGATCAGCTGCAAAGAATAGCTATGCCCACTGACCTCTGGCCTCTGAATACCTTGGAGGATCAGCTGTGTAGGGGCCACCACACAGAGCAAGATTTACTTCATCAGGGCTCTGGTACCCACTGTATCCACTCACTGAGTGTGTCACTTGTGGAGGTGGTTGGGTGGTGGTCTTTTGATATGGTCTGGAGCTGTCTGCTGGGTGTGCTGGCAAGGTCATCCACTGGCTGTGTTCTATCTGGGGCCACCAGGCTTAAGCTACAAAGTGATTTGCCGATGGCTGCTTCTTGTGCTGGGCTTGGAAGTACCCAGAAAAAGCCCAAGTTCACTGCCTGAGGCTCCAGCCACCTCAGCCTCCCTGAGCCTCAGTTGCCGCTGGGTTTTCCAGCCCAAAGTTATGGGGACTTCTCTTCCTGGCACTGGAACTCTGAGCTGGGCACCTGGTGTGGGACGGGAACCCCTCACTCCTCATGGAGGACCTTCCCAGCCAAGGTATTCTTATTTTTATCCGCCACATGTGGGTGTGGGACCAGCTAGTCCGTGCCTCTGCCCCTCCTACCAGTCTTGGTGTGGCTGCTTCTGCTTCTTTAATTTCATAGTTGTAGGACTTCCATTCAGCTCAATGTCAGGCAGTTCTGAATGATGGTTGCATTGTAGTTTAGTTGTAATTTTGATGTGGTTGTGGGAGGAGGCGAGTACCACGTTTACCTATGCTGCCATCTTGACCTGAAAGTCAATTCCATGCATTTTAAATTGAATTTATTCCTCCAAATCTTTTTTCTCCCCTAGTACTCTCTATCAGAGTGAGTATCACCACAATTTGACCCAGCTGCCCAAGTCAAGAACCTTAGTTCCTTACTGTCCTCAAATCCTTCCCTTCCCATTAATCACTTGTCAAGGCTCTTTCTTTAGTGACTGCCAAGTCCATCCACTCCATTAGGTCATCCTCAGTGGTTGTGATTTGTTGAAATAGTTTCCATGCTGATTTCTCTGATTCTAGCTTCTTCCTTCTCATCCCCACCACCCACCCTGTCCCAAGCCCTCTTCATTCTCACTAGTTAGAGGGATATAAAATAAACCCTGATAGTGCTACTCCTCTGTAATAGTATTAATAATAATAATAGTAACAACAACAATAATAACCCACCCTTTAGCACTCATTACTCTCAGGGTGAAGTCCATGGTCTTTACTAAGGATCACAGGGCCCCATGTGCTCCCATAATGCTGACTAGAGCCTTTTCTGGCCATTCAGCTCCACAAACTCTCCTTTCCTGGTAAACAGAACTTGTTAATGGACACTATATTCTTTTTCACTCTGGGGTCCCTGTACATGCTGTTTGCTCCTCTTGCACTCTAATGTTCCCCGTTTTTCTTGTCTAAGTCTTATATCTTCTTCAGGTTTCAACTGAGACATTAAAGCTTTGGTAGGCCATCCCCAATTACCCCAAATTAAATGCCTATCCTATGCAGACATAGCACCCTCTATTTCTCACTGGAGTAGCATTTGTTTTACTCTACTGTAACTTCTTGTCTTTTATCAATCTTCTCTGTGACACCAGGGTGGCATGAATGTAGGTCCAGGAGGAGGGACTGTAGGTTTTTTCACCATTGGTGCTTAGCACTATGCCTAGAACAGACACTGAGCATGTGGTTGTGGAATGAACAAGCTAGTGCAATCTTGGATTTCCCTTCAGAATTCCCTGGAGTGGCTTGGGAGTCAATCCTAGGTTGGCATTTAGTAAAAAGAAAGGAGAGGATGGTTGGCATAGGGAATAAAGGCATTCAACCTGAACACTATTGCTTTTTCTCAGAGTCCAGTTCTAAACCTGGGGCTGAAGAGAAAGTCCTTGTAGAAAGGGCTGTCAGGGATAGGGGTCAGGAAAGCTGTCATCACATGGTAGAGTGACCCTATTACCTTTGACAAATCATTGATTTTTTTGTGGTCTCACTTCTGCCAGGTCTGGGTCTCAAAAGTATGAGAGCTAGCATAGGATCATAGATACTAGTATAAATGTTCATACCTGTGTTCTGTTCCATCTCATTTTAAGAACTTTGCTGACCAGATGTGAGAAAATACCCATGAATTTAGTTTTGATTTTGAAACCCACAGCTATGGGCCACTTGATTCTCTGTTGCTTTGTCTCCTATTCACACTATGGCTGCTTGTCTGCCATCTGCAGGCCTCACTTCAGTAGTTCAGATGGTTGGGTCTTATTGTCTTGCTCTATGCTTGGGTCTGAATTTTAGAGACTGAGCTTCTTCTGCCTCTTGTTCCAAATTCAACCTCCCACCTATCCCTAGATCCTCCAAGAATAATGTGCTGCTTTGGTCTTGCCTGTGTCCAAAGTTCCTGCTATATTCACAGTGGTGGTCACTTCTGACTGTCCCACACCAATAAGCCCCCAAAGCCCCTCACCTCAGTCTCAACTCTTGTTGAGTGGAATCCTAGGGTAGGCTGTAAGATTTGTATTTACCAGAGCTCTCAGAGCATCTGCTACTTTTTGTCCAAAGGGTGAAGATGGAAGACTGGTGCTATCCAGTGATCTTCCCAGATTCGCGGAACTTCCGCCCCTTCACTTCTGACTCTCTGGCTGCAATCGAGAAGCGGATCGCAATCCAAAAAGAGAAAAAGAAGCGCAAGGACCCAACAGCATCAGTACCCCAACCTCGACCTTATCTTGACCTAAAAGTCTCCAGGAAGTTGCCCAAGCTCTATGGTGACATTCCCCGTGAGCTGATAGCAAAGCCCCTGGAAGACTTGGACCCATTCTACAGAGATCATAAGGTAGTTCCATGGGGAGGCTGGGGTGTTCTAACCATGCAGTTGTAACTGATGTTATAAAGACCTCCAAACACCAATCTTGGGGTTTGCAGGAGCAGGCTGTTACTTCTTTGCTATCACTCCCTGTCATTGCCTTCATAATCCTAAGAACCTCATTCAGTCCCCATTTTCTCTCTGCAATGCATGTCTTGAAGAAGAACATGAAGATGGAGCAGCAGAAAGGTTAAAATGAGACCAGAGAAAATAAAATGGTGTCAGGAAAGAGGACTGGACTAGCAGTCAGGAAGTTGGGTGTAGGCCATTGCAGTGATTGGCTTTATGACTTTGGGTAAATCACTTCACTAATCCTCATTTTTCTAATCTGTAAAATGGGAATAGTGTCTGCTTTCCCAACCCACAGCATAGACATGCTATGGAAACACTTTATAAACTGTAAAACATTTATACCCATGTGAAGGATTAATATTGCTGTCTAAGATTGTCTGGTTCAGCAACAAGAGTTTACCTTGGAAAATTTTAGAGTTTACCTTATGAAGATCAAAGCCCTAGACCAACACTTGACACATAATCAGAGCTTAATAAATGAAGTCTACAAATATGGTAATCAAGTGAACACGTGCATTATATGTAGAACCCATGCCAATATGTGATAGGCTTGCGGTTTCATCTACCTGCATATAGTTGTTGCAGGAAAATTCTACTAAAATTTCCTTAAGAGGGCTTCTGAGGACATGTGAGCTCTGGGCTCCTCTGGTGGCTGTTTGAAAGCCTGGGGAATGGTGAGGATAGCTCTCAGCAGACCATCTCCTTTTAGGAAAGGCACAGAAGACCTTGCCATTACCACCTCTCTGTGTGATCCAGCAAAGTATGAAAAAGCCACCTCACTAGACTAAGGTCTGGGAGGAAGGAGAATGGGAGTTTGGGGAAGTCCTAGAAAATATGGGATGCTGAGAGCATCCTTCACAAGCAATCATGAGAAATTTATCTTTCCAAAGAAAAATAGCCGGGTTTGTATGTCCTTGAATGGAAATTCTTAGGGTTACCAGGCAAAATGAGGACCATGTGTATAGAGGAAAGTAGGGTATGAATGGGTAGGACAAGAAAGAGGAAGAGAAATCAAGGAGCAAAAACACTAATAGTTCTCTTCTTCCTTATGCCCCAGAATCCAGGGGCTTCTTGGAGGCAAAGTTGTTGAATGTGAGTTAACTACTGGAGGCCCCCTTCTATCTATGGCTGGATAGGAGACCCATGAGGCAGACCCATGGTGTGTTGTGGACAGTCCTGGAGAACAGGCTCTGTTCTAGTCTGGATGGATGTTCAGAAAGTGCCTCTCCTCAGGCTGGGTCCTTCCTTCAAATCAGAAGACACTCTCCTTAGGTAGAGCTCTGCACATCTATGACCTCACATGACCAGTGTTCTCAATGGTCATGTGAGATATGTGTGGTAGCCATTAACATTCCACCTTATAAGTGAGGTGACCACAGACCAGATGGGGAAGTGACTTATGCTAGGTCAAATAGCCAGTAAGGGGTGGATCTGGGACTCCAATTCAAGTACTCTTTACATGGTTGAAGGCCACTTCCTGTCTAGGAGCTTCCACTTTGAAGAGCTACAGGAAAAGGGTTAGAGATGTGTCAGCAAGCAGGCAGAAGAAGCTAGTACCTATCATTTTAACCTTTAAAACCCTGGCAAGTGTAGTTAAATACACCATTAGTTGAAATATTTAAAGCAGCCAGAGGAGGCATTAATAAAACATCAAAATCAAAGGGAACAGAAACAGAGCCATATCATGCCATCCCTTAACTTGGGGTGACTCACCTCAAGGATAGGTTTGCTGTCTGCCCTAAAATTGTCTTTCTATCCAGAGGAAGGGCACAGATTCCCCAAAGTGGGTCTTGGGCTCCTAAGCTCCTTCATAGCTTTTATAGAACCCTATGGGCCATTTCATTTTGTTTTAGAGGAAACAGAAAATATCCTAGTCCACATGTTTTCCTGCAGCCAGATGGTCAGCAGACAAGTAAGTTTCAGCAACTCAGCCAGGGCACCACCCACCCTGCGGTCTTGGGCCTTGGTGACTAGGCTGTCTTTCCCATCTGAGAACATGCTGGATTACATGCCAAGTAGTACTTTCTGCAAATCTGAACAGGACAGTGACATGGGGAGAGAGAAATGGCCCTCTCTCTGCGAAGGCTTTTGTAACTAACAGCCTTAAGGACACATAAAGGAACAGCTAGATTACAGTTAAATGAAAAGAGGGAGGTTTGGGCATAGATGTTAGAAGCCTGTGAGTGAAGGTTGTTGTCCTGAGGCTGTTTCATTCCCAGAGCCTAGGAGGATATGAGTACAGGTTTGGTGCTCTTCAGTGGAGTCCAACTGGGCACTGTGAAGGGGACAATGTTCCACTTGGCAGGCCTGTGCTGAGTTTGGCATCCCTGGACCTACTCACTGAAGGTCAGTGGAGCCTCCAGCCATTGTGATAGACAAAAAATACCCATATGCCTTTCCAGATGCCTTCTGTGGGGCTTCCTCTGCACAGTTGAGAACCACAGGCAGATTTACCCCTATGTCTGTGGAGGGAATTGAAGAACTAGTCTGGGAACCTTGATGAGTTTTTTTTACTTGAAGGTTCGCAAAGTTAGAATTGATTGGTAGACTGTCTTATATCAAACTGCTCAAACATAACAATATGGACTCTCTATGTCTCTGACTATTCCAATACTCATTACAAAGTTTTCATTAGTAATCAAAACAACTTAAAATAATCCACTGAATGCGAATGTTCAATTCTACTTCCATCTCTTCCAGTTCTCTTCTAGTTCTTGTCTCTGTAGATACATGCCAGAGTATAACGTGGAGAGCTTTGTTTGTTTCAGGTGTTACTCTTCACACTTGTTTTCTTAATTTGAGGGGCCCATGTGCTCCATCTCTGGGGCCTCCAGAATATTCCACTAGGTGAACAGGCTACAACCCAACAGTATCTTGGAGCTCTGAGTGAGACCCAGGCCACCTGGGGACACCTCTTGGCTTCCAGAGTCACAGTGTTGGCTAATCAGAAGGTACCTCTGTTTCAGAGTGACAGCTCTCAAATCAGAAGCTGTATTTATAATAATGAGTCAAGCTATACCTCAATCTATGGTTCCACTGAATTTTCTCAAAATGAAGTCATGATAAATATTGTTTTGTCACTGCATTGTAATTCTTGTTGTATTTGGTCTTTTGCAGACATTTATGGTGTTGAACAAAAAGAGAACAATCTACCGCTTCAGTGCCAAGCGTGCCTTGTTCATTTTGGGGCCTTTCAATTCAATCCGAAGTTTAGCCATTAGAGTCTCAGTCCATTCATATCCTTTTATTGCGTCTCTTACAAAGTCCAGGTCATGTGAAAAGTGCATGCGCCCCAGGGTGTTCACGTGTTTATTGAGTGGAAACAGCTCATTCTTTCAACAAACACCGGCCAAGGGCCTACTGCTGCATGCCAACACTGTGCTCATGCTGGGTGTGAACAAGGCATGGCCCCTTGATCCTTGACCTCAGAAGGAGCCAGGTCAAAGGCAGGCAGTTTCTTTAGTGAGATGGGTGGTTTGGAAGTGGTAGTGTAGAGAGGCACCGCTATGCTTTGGAGGCATCAAGGATGGCTTCGTGGAGAAAGAAATATTTCAGCTGAGACCCAAACAAAGGTTGTAAACTGTCAACCAATGCACCATATTTAGCTGATAAATGTGTTGTGTTGGACCTACACAGTGTTTAAAACTTTTCAGAAACAGTCTCTGGTGTTAAAAACCCAGGCTCCCAGTTTCTCTGGAACAGTGGGGCCTCTGTCAAGGCTAGGCCTGCATTCCCACCTGTCAAAGTCAGTGTAGTGAGAAACTGGCCTCTTTTAGAGGGGCTGTGTACACTGTTTCACCACACTACACTGTCGCACCCTTCCCTGCGACCCAACATCAGCCAATTTCACTCAGTTATGTGCCTTGCCAGGCTCTTAAGACTTTGAGTTTGCAACCTCAGTCTTAAGGATAAAGATAGGTAGGAATCATTGAGCATTACTGATGTGTGCAGGGGTTGGGGAGACACTAGGCAGTTTTAGACTAGGGGAGGTGTAAAAGACATAAATTGGTAGACAGAATGAAGTATTGAAGAGAAAGAGAGGCATAACTCTTTAGGTTGGGTTCCCAGAAGCAGAGCTTGAGGTAGGAATTTCTATTTAGGTGATTTCGTGGAGGAGTGCTCTCTGGAGAAGGTGAAAGAAGCAGGATGGAGCAAGAGGACGAGGCTAGCAGGGACAGGTCTCAGCGGAGTTTGTGTCAGCCTGAGCCTCCAGAGAGCTCCGGGCACAAATTGTATCCCAGAACTGCCCCGCTTGGAGGCAAGGGATCAGCTTTTTGTGAGTCTCAGTCAGTCAGACAAGTGGAAGGGGGGTGTAGCCCTCCAGGTGAGGAGGCTGCCATTCTCTCAAGGAAGGGACAGCTGTGACTTCTTCTTAGCCAATGCTCACAGTTAGAGGACAGATGCACCTGCAGAGAAGGGGACCTGAGGGGCACCCACTGCCTCCACTATAATGACTAATGACACTTGCCATCTTGCAGTGTACCTGCCTTAACGGACGCTGGTCACATTGTTCAGCATGTTCATCATCTGCACTGTCATCATCAACTGCGTGCTCATGGCCATAAATCCTAAGACCGACCACAACAGTACAGCTACTAACGTTGCTGAGTAAGTGTCTCTCCTGTTTTTAAACAGGTTCACCTAAAAAAAAGTTATAATTTTTTATATACATATATATATATATAGAGAGAGAGAGTTTAGATATATAAAGAAAAAGTCACCCGTAATCCTAATTCCCCAACACAATAATAGCATAGTCAAATTTATTTTTGTGTATATATTTTTATGATTGTCTAAAGGCCTTTAAAAATTACATTAGTAATTAACAGCACACATACAAATTTTATGTCTAGCTTTTAAGTGGTTTTCTTTGTCTTACAAAGGATTTATAGAAATCTATTTTGATGACTATATACTGTTTTGTCAAGTGAATAAACCATAATTTACTTAGCCATTCTAGCATGTTACTACTATAAATAGCATTGCAGCAAGCATCTTTTTGCATAAAGCTACTTTTCAAGAGTTATTATTTTCCTAGGCTAGTCTTTGAAATATGTTTACTAGGTCAAAAGGTACATTTTAACACTTTTAAAATATATATTGACAAAATATTCTCCCAAGAGTTTATGGCATTTTAATCTGCCATCAGCAGTATATTCTGACAACCAGTGTAATACATTCTTGCCAGTACTACCTTTTTTTCTTCATTAATCTATGGAGTAAAAAAGACTTTCATTTTCTTAATTTCCAGATGGGTTGGAATTTTTTGTTTGTTTTATTTTGTGAATTGTGTATTTCCATCTTGCCCATGTATCATTTTTGTTTTTTTCCTGGTCAGTTTGAGTTCTTTGTGACTAAAATATTAACTTATTGTACTTTTGAATTGGTTATTCAGACATAAAAATTAATTTTCTAACTTAGAAAGTTCTATATTTTGATAAATATTCTTTTTTATGTTGTCCTAGTTTTTCTGCTTTGACATATTTACTGCTTTAGTCTTTCAGAAATATATTGAATAATAAGTTGAATGAATAATAAGAGACCATTTATTTCTGTCACATAGTTAACTGGATGATAGAAACTACCACAGTCAATATATGGAACATTCCAACCATCCCCCAAAGTTTTCTCCTGACTCTTTGCCGCCAATCCCCTGCCCACCATTCCCAACCCCAGGGAAATACCCTTCTGCTTTCCTTCACTCTAGACTAGTTTTGCCTTTCTTGAAATTTCATATAAATGGAATCATATAGTATGTATGATACCATACTTTTGTATCTGGCTTATTCCACGTAGTATAATGTTTTGAGATGCATTTATACTGTTGTATACATCACTAGCTCTTTTTCTTTTCATTGCTGAGTTGTATCCCATTGTATGGGTATATCACAATTTGTTTTCCCATTCACCTGTTGATGGATATTTGGATTATTTCCCATTTTTTGTACAATTAAAGTTGTTATGAACATTTTTGTATAAAAGTATTTTTGTGGATATATGTTTGCATTTCCCTTGGATAAATACTTGATAGTAGAATTGTTGGGTCATAGAATAAGTGTATGGGTAAGTTGGTGAGAAACTGCCATAGTTTCCCAAATTGGCTACACTACTTTACATTCATTTGTTGTTTTGTTTTGGTTTATACTCACCTGAGGATATTTTTCCATCTATTTTTTAGATAGAGTGGAAGGGAGGGGGGGTGGGGGGAGACATTGATGTAAGAGAGACACATCAATTGATTGCTTCCCACACGACCCCGACTGGGGCTGGGGATCGAACCTGTACCTACATGTACCTACATGCCCTTGACTGGGAATCAAACCCATGACCCTGTGGTCCACAGGCCGAGGCTCTAACTATTGAGCCAAACTAGCCAGGGCTGTTGTACATTCTTGCCAGCAATATATGAAAGGTGCAAAGTCTTGATAAATTTTCTCCATCAATTTACTTTGATTTAATTTGCTCTTCTGTTTCTAGCTTCTTAAAGTAGAAAATTAAATATGTGATTTTAGATCTTCTTTTCTTATATAATGTATAAAGTTATAAATTTCCATGCAAGCATTGCTTTAGCTGCATTCCACAGATTTTTGTTGTTGTTAATCCTCATCCGAGGATATTTTTTCTTTGGTTTTTAGATAGAATGGAAGGGAAGGTTGGAGAGAGAGAGAGAGAAAGAAACATCAATATGAGAGAGACACATTGATTAGTTGCCTCCTGCACGACACCTACTGGGGCTGGGGATTGAACCTGCAACCCAGGTAAGTGCCATTGACTGGGAATTGAACCCATGACCCTTTAGTCCATGGGCTGACACTCTAACCACTGAGCCATACCAGTCATTTAGAAGTGTGTTTTAAAATTTCCAAATAGTTCATGTTTTTCTAGTCGTCTTTTTGTTATTGATTTTTTTTAAAAAAATTTATTTATTAATTTGTTTTTGTTACAGATGTTTCTCATTTTTCCCCCATTGACACCCTCCTCCCCTTTCCCCCGGCCCCATCCTCAGCTTTGTTGTCTATGTTCATTGGTCATGCATACATGCATGTAAGTTCTGTGATGTATCTCTTCCCTCACAACCTCCTCCCTCCTCTGAGGCTTGTCAGCCTGTACCCCACCTCCATGTCTCTGGGTTAATTTTGTTCAGCAGTTTGTTTAGTTCATTATGTTCCACAAATAAGTGAGATCATGTGATATTTGCCTTCTTTGCTTGGCTTATTTCGCTTAGCATAATACTCTCCAGGTCTGCCCTGGCCGGTTTTGCTCAGTGGTTAGAGTGTTGGCCTGTGGTCTAGAGAGACCCGGGTTCAGTTGCCACTAAGGGCACGTACCTAGGTTGCGGTTTGTCCCCGGCCCTGGTTGGGTTGTGCGAGAGGCAACCACTCGATGTGTCCCTTTCACGTCGATGTTTCTCTCTCTCCCACTCTATCTGAACAAAATATAGAAAAGTGTCCTCAGGTGAGGATAAAAAAAAAAAAATACTCTCCAGGTCCTTCCATGCTATCTCAAAGGATAAGAGATCTTGCTTTCTTACAGCTGCATAGTATTCCATTGTGTACATGTACCACAGCTTTTTAATCCACTCATCTACTGATGGACACTTGGGTTGTTTCCAGATCTTAGGTATTGTAAATAGTGCTGCTATGAACATAGGGGTACATATATTGTTTCTGATTGGTGTTTCAGGTTACCTCAAAAAGTTAAAAATTGAACTGCCATTTGACCCAGTGATCCCACTTCTAGGAATATTGTTATTGATTTTCAAATTAATTCTGTTATGGTTAGAGAATATACTTTGTAAGATTTCAATCTTTTGAAATCAAGAGAAACTTGTTTTATTGTCTACCTTGGTAATGGTTCATGTGTACTTGAAAAGAATGTGGGTTCTTTAGTTGTTTGGTATGATATTCTGTACATGGTTGGTTAGGTTAGGGTGGTCAATATGTTATTTAGACTTTTTATAACTTTATTGCTTCTGTTTGTACTTCTATGAATTATTTTTTTTTTATTAATTAATTTTTGTTACAGATGTTTCTCCTTTTCCCCCACTGATTCCCCCCTCCTCCTCCCTCCCTGCCCTGTGCCCAGTTTGTTGTCCATGTCCACTGTTCATGCATACATGCATATAAGTTCTGTGGTTTATCTCTCCCCCACCACCCCCTCTTCTGGGGATTGTCAGTCTGTACCCCACCTCCATGTCTCTGGGACTACCCCATTCCTCAGACTGTTATGTTCATTATATTCCACAAATAAGTGAGATCATATGATACTTGTCCTTCTCTGTTTGGCTTGCCTCACTCAGGAGGATACTCTCCAGGTCCCTTCATGTAGTCTCAAAGGACAAGAGATCTTTCTTTCTTACAGTTACGTAGTACTCCATTGTGTATATGTACCACAGCTTTGTTATCCATTTGTCTACTGATGGACACTTGGGCTGTTTCCAGATCTTAGCTATTGTAAATAGTGCTGCTACAAACATGGGGGTACATATATTCTTTCTGTTTGGTGTTTCAGGCTTCTTAGGGTATATTCCTAGAAGTGGGATCACTGGGTCAAATGGAAGTTCAATTTTTAATTTTTTGAGGTAACACCATATTGTTTTCCATAGTGGCTGCACCAGTCTGCATTCCCACCAGCAGTGCACCAGAGTCCCCTTTTCTCCACACCCTCGCCAACACTTGTTGTTTGATGATGTGTTGATGGCGGCCATTCTGACAGGTGTGAGATGATACCTCATTGTTGTTTTAATTTGCATCTCTCTGATGATTAGTGATGATGAGCATTTCTTCATATGTTTCTTAGCCATTTGTATGTCCTGTTTGGAGAGGTGTCTATTTAATTCCTCTGCCCATTTTTTAATTGGGTTCTTAGTCTTCCTTTTGTGGAGTTGTATGAACACTCTATATGTATTGGAAATTAACCCCTTATCTGATATATCATTGGCAATTAAGCTCTCCCATACAGTGGGTAGCCTTTCCATTTTGATGATTGTATCTTTCGCTGTGCAGAAGCTTTTGAGTTTGATATAGTCCCATGTGTTCATTTTCTCCTTTGTTTCTATTGCCTTAGGTGATGTGTCAGTGAAAATTCTGCTGCGTATGATGTCTGAAATTTTGTTGCCTACTGTTTCTTCTAGGATTTTTATGGATTCATGAGTCACATTTAAGTCTTTTATCCATTTTGAGTTCATTCTTGTGTAGGGTGTAAGTTGATGGTCTAGTTTCATTTTTCTGCATGTAGCTGTCCAATTTTCCCAGCACCATTTATTAAAGAGGCTGACTTTACTCCACTGTACGCTCTTGCCCTCTTTGTCAAATATTAATTGAGCATATTGCCTTGGGTCCATTTCTGGGTTCTCTGTTCTGTTCCACTGGTCTATATGCCTGTTCTTGTGCCAGTACCAGGCTGTTTTGATTACAGTGGCTTTGTAGTATAACCTGAAATCTGGTAATGTGATCCCTCCTACTTTGTTCTTCCTTTTCAAGATTGCTGTGGCTATTTGAGGTCTCTTTTGTACTTCTATGAATTATTGAAGAGAGTCTTGAAATTCCCACCTGTGGTTAGGGATTTGTTCAATCTCCCTTTCTCTTTGTTAAAGTATGCTTCGTGTATTTTGCAGCACTATTATTAGGCACATGAGCATTTAGGATTATTTATCTTCCTGTTGTATGTATTATTTTATCATTATGAAATGTCCTTCTTTGTGTCTTAATACTCCTTTTAATATTTGTTTTGTCTGACATTAATATAGCTACTTATGCTTTCTTATGTTATTGTTTGCATGGTATATCTTTTTCTATCCTTTTACTCTCAACCATTTTGTGTTTTTGTATTTGTAGTGTACCTCTTGTAAAGAACATATATGTAGTTGGTTTTTGTTTTTTATATGGTCTATCAATCCAGTCTCTGTTTTTTTTTGTTTTGTTTTTTTGTTTGTTTTTGTTTTTTTTGATGGAATGTTTAGTTCACTTGCATTTAATGTAATTTTGGGTAGGCTTAAATTTAGGTCTGCTGTTTTCCTATTGATCTCATTTTTTTTGTTTGTTTATTTGCTCTTCTGATGTTTCCTTTTTTCTGTCTTCTTTTGTGTTAATCAGGTATGTTTAGTATTTCTTTCCTTTTTAAAAAATATGTTTTTATTGATTTTTCTTTTCGAGAGAGAGGAAGAAAGAAAGAGATAAAAATATTGCTGTTAAGAGAGAAACATTGATTGGCTGCCTCCTGCACGTCCCCCACTGGGGATTGAGCCTACAACCCAGGCATGTGCCCTGACTGGGAATTGAACTGGGACCTCTCAGTCCATGGAATGACACTCAGTCCACTGAGCCACACCGGTTGGGCTAGTATTTCATTTTAATCCTCAAATGGCTTTTTAGCTTCTTCGAATTCCTTTGTAGTAGTTGTGCCCTCTCTGTTGGTGTGTAGAACATGGAATCTGGTTAAGGCCTGCCAGCTCATCGAGCTGTGCCTTGGAACAGGGGGCATGGACACCCCTGGGAATAGAAACCATTCTGGCAGTACCACTGGAGAAAATGGTTCCTCCCCACTCTGAGAGTTGACGGTTCCATGTGAGGAGCTAACTGAGAGTGCAGGGGCTACTACTCATTGTTTACAGCAGTGTCCCTGGAAGTCATTGTGGTCAATAGAGTGGGCCCTGTGGAGGAGACAGATTCAGGGGGTGGCATTGCTCCCACAGCAGTGGTTTGCCCTACCCAGCACTTCTGGAGAGATGTAATGAGTTCTCTCCTCCATTAACGAGAAGCAGTGGGCCAACTGAAAGCTAATTTGCTCAAGGCCATTTTTATACTAACAGATCCTTAAAGCAGAAATGTGGGAGAAAAAAAAAACTTGTCTAAGCTCTAGGGAAGCAGAGAGGCTGGAGGTAGGGGTGGGAAGTGAGGAAAGCTGCTGCTGTCCCCTGGTGGCATTTGGAGCAATATTGGATGCATGAAAGTGGGGCTGGGAGGAGGCTGTTAAAAATGTCCTCATAAAAGGAAGCATGCAGCTGAGTGGTTAGGCCCATGGAGGGAGAGTTTCTTCAGCATTCTTTGGTCAGAAAACTTTTAAATGGGAAAACTGAATCCAAGTTAATAGCTTCTGAGAATGAAACAAAAGTCCTCTAAGATCAGGCGATGGTATTCTGTTAACTGTACTATTTTCCATAGTGGTTACACCATTTTACAATCCTACCAATAGTTCATTAGGGTTCCAGTTTCTCCATATCCTCGTCAACACTTATTTTCTGTTTTTGTTTTTGTTTTTTTGTTTTGTTTCTTAAGTAGCCATCCATCACCACAGATACAAGGTGATATCTCATGGTGGTTTTGATTGGCATTTCCATGATGATCAGTGATATTGAACATATTTTCATATTCTTGTTGGCCTTTTTGTATATCATCTTTGGAGAAATGTCCATTCAAGTAGTTTGGCCATTTTAAAATTGGATTGTTTGATTTTTTTGTTGTTGTTGAGTCATAGAAGTTCTTTATGTAATCTGGATATTAAGCTCTCATCAGATAAATGATTTGAAAATATTTTATTCTAGGAATTTTATACTTTCTGGTGTTATATTTAGCTCTTTAATCTATTTTAAGTTAATTAAAAATTTTTTTTAATTTATTTTTTTAATTTTATTTTTGTTACAGGTATTTCTCCTTATTTACCCCCTTGACACCCTCCTCCCCATCCCCCCCCCGCCCCATCCCCAGTTTTGATGTCCATATCCATTAGTTATGCATACATGCATATAAGTTCTGTGGTTTATCTCTTCCCACCCTCACCACCCCCTCTTCTGAGGGTTGTCAGTCTGTACCCTACTTTCATGTTTCTGGGTCTACCGTATTCCTTAGACTGTTATGTTCATGATATTCCATATATAAGTGAGATCATTTGGTATTTGTCTTTTACTGCTTGGCTTGTTTCACTTAGGATAATACTTTCCAGTTCCCTCCATGTCGTCTCAAAGGATAAGAGATCTTTTTTTCTTATAGCTGCATAGTACTCCATTGTGTATATGTACCACAGCTTTTTTATCCATTCGTCTACTGATGGACACTTGGGCTGTTTTCAGATCTTAGCTATTGTAAATAGTGCTGCTATGAACATGGGGGTACATATATTCTTCCTGATTGCTGTTTCAGGCTTCTTAAGGTATATTCCTAGAAGCGGGATCACTGGGTCAAATGGCAGTTCAATTTTTAATTTTTTGAGGTAACACCATATTGTTTTTCATAGCGGCTGCACCAGTCTGCATTCCCACCAGAAGTGTACTAGAGTCCCCTTTTCTCCACACACTCACCAACACTTGTTGTTTGATTTGAGTTAATTTTTGTACACAGTGTAAGATAAGAGTCCCACTTCATCCTTTTGCATGTAGATACTGAGCTTTCCCAATACCATCTGTTGAAAAGACTGTACTTTTTTCATTGGCACCCTTGGCATCCTTGTTGAAAATCATTTGACCATGTGTGTGAGGGGCTAATTTCCAGGCTTTCTATTCTATTCCAGTGGTCTGCATGCCTGTTTTTATGCCAACACCACACTGTTGTTGTTTTTGTTAATCCTCACCCGAGGATATTTTTCCATTGATTTTCAGATAGAGTGGATGGGAGAGGGAGGAGAGGGAGGGAGGAGGGGAAGAGGGAGAAGAGGGGGTGGGAGAGGGAGAGGGAGAGGGAGAGGGAGAGGGAGAGGAAAGAAACATTAATGTGAAAGAGACACATTGATTGGTTGCCTCCCGCATGACCCTGACCAGGGGCGGGAATCAAACCTGCAACCCAGGTACATGCCCTTGACTGGGAATTGAGCCCAGGACATTTTGGTCCATGGGCCAGTGCTTTAACCTCTGAGCCAAACCAGCCAGAACCCAACACCAGACTGTTTTGATTATGTTAGCTTTGTGGTAAATTTTAATATAACAAAAGATGAGAACTCAAACTTTATTTTTTTTCAAGATTGTTTTGGCTATTTATAGTTCCTTGAAATTCCATAAGAATTTCAGGATGCACTTTTTTTTTTTTCTGTAAAAAATGTCATTGAGATTTTGATAGAGATGGCATTGAATCTATAGATCACTTTGAGTAGTAGGAATACCTTAACAATATTAAATCTTCCAATCTGTGAACATGGGATATGGAAAGATTCAGGTTTTAGCCTTGTGATTTACTCTCTTTTTTCCTTTGCCACCATCCCCTTCTGTACATCAGAGTGACAACTCTAGGAGAGCAGTGACAAACTACAATCCCAAGTCCTAGGGCCCCATTTTGGCTGAAACTACTCTCAAGAATATGGCTGTGAAGCTAGGCATTGTAAAGCAGTTTTTCAGCTTTATCCTTGGGCATGTTTCTCAGAAATTCTACCTACCAGAACTTGCTTGACAAGCTTGCTTTTCTGAACTCTGGTTTGCTAAAGACCAGAATGTTAATGTCACATTAACATGGATAAAACCTAATCAAGGCCAGGTTAGACAGGTGGGCTCTCTGCTTTTCACAACACTTACTATATTTCTGCTTGTTCTGAATGATTTGCTTTGTAGATATGTCTTCACCGGGATTTATATTTCCGAAGCTTTGATAAAAATATTGGCAAGAGGTTTTATTCTTGATGAGTTTTCTTTTCTTCGAGACCCGTGGAACTGGCTGGACTTCATTGTCATTACTACAGCGTAAGAATGTTAAAGATTTGTATCGAAGAGAATTGGGGTGGGAATGAAGCCCTTTGGCTTACATCAGGGCTCTTTGTAAATCCACGTGTGGTTAAGTATGGTCTTGTAGTGCCTTAGAGCCCTGAGTGCAGTGTTGGTTGGCCCTGAACAGTACCATGCAGTCAATTGACCAGAGGCCACCATGCACAAAGCCATTTCTAGGCTAACCCTCACTCTCATTCCTTCAGCCATTTATTCACTGGCCTATTATGGGCCCAGTTCTGTGTAAGATACAGGTGTTGTGATAATGAAAAACAAAACAAATAAACAAACGCACCTCGTTCTCACTCTCTTGAAGCTCACAGTTAGTAATCATTACAATCCAGTAGGGTGAGCATTAGGATAGGAGCAGTGCATGTAGGAGGAACTGAGGAGTCTAAAAAATCTTTAGCTACTACAAGGTTACAAAGAGTTTCTCTCATGTTTTCTCTTAAGTTTTTATAGTTTTAGCTCTTATGTTGATGTCCTTGGTCCATTTTGGGTTTATTATTGTGTATATTGTATATGACATGGGGTGAGAATTGAATTTCTTCCTGAAGGAAGGCATCTGAATGATGAGGTAGAGTCAGCAAAGCAAGAAGAGCAATGGTCTTTTGCCAACACAGTAATAATAACCCTTACTTTAATTAATTTTTCAAGCTAGCCATTATTTTAAGTATTTGCATATATTTTCATATTTAATACTCACAAAAGCCCTTTGAGGTAGATGCTATTCATTTCGGAGTTTTACATTAGAAGTTCAGCAGTCGGTGCTCTTGGCTATTGAAAGGTGGTGTAGTGCAGCAGTGAATAGTATGGGCCCAGGAGACAGACCGACCGGCCTGTGTTCCTTCTGGGTTTGGCCACATAGTGAGACTTTAGGGAAGGAAGTGCATTTGGGCCAGTCAATAAATGTTTCAATTGATTTATATTATCTATGGACGTAGCCACAACTATTTAAAGGAATCCTTACCTTTGTCCAAATATAAGGATTAGCTGAGAACAGCCTCCTGTGCAATCTCTGTTCCATAGCAATAGAGAATGATATTATGAGACCCTAGGATGAAGGTGGGCTTGGGAAGGCGAGGCCCCAGAGTTCAGCTTTGTGGATGCAGGGCCCCGGCTATGCTTACTTGTGCCTTGTGGAAGTGTGCAGTGAAACCATAAGACTGAGCAAACCCAGGCTGTTCCTGTGCCTTGTCTTGTAGGTTTGTGTCGTATGTACTATCTATGAACAACAGCAGCATCGGCCTGTCATCCCTGCGTACCTTCCGAGTATTCAGAGCTTTGAAGGCAATCTCAGTAGTTTCGGGTAAGTCACTCTACCTTTCAATGTTGGCTCACAGTGGGTGAGAACATTCTTTCATATTTAACATTTCTCCAAATGTCATATAAACCAAAAGCAAACACACAAACTCTGCTTTTACTTTTTATTTTATTGTTCAACAAATATGTATTGTGCAGGCACTGTGCTAGCTGCTTGGGATATGTCAGTGAGCAGACAGACAAAGGTTCCTGCTCTCATGGGGTTTGTATTCCAGGTGGGGGGGTGAGGAGACAGACCCTAAGCAATAACTGTAATAATTCAGTAAATGATCTAGCATGTTAGAAAGTGATACTGTGCCATGAAAAAAAAAAGAAAAAGGAAAAGTAAACAACATGAGAGCTACGGAAGTCACAGGGGCTGGGGGAAACAGGCTGCAATCATCAATAGAGTGCTCAGGATGAGTGTTGTTGAGAAGGTGAGATGTGAGCAGATGTGAAGGCAGTAACACTTTCACAAGCAGATATATGGTAAAGAGTCTTTGAGGATAAGAAACAGTCAGTCCAAAGTCTGGGGAATAGCAAAGATATGAATGAGGCTGGAGCAGACAGAGTGAGGAGCCAGGAGGTGGAGGTGGGACCACAGAGGTGAAGCAGGCAGGTAGGCCCTGGGAAGACTTAGACTTTGCTCTGAGAGAAAGGGAGCCATGAGAGGCTTTGAGCAGAGGAATTGCCTGATCTGACTCAGGTTTTGAAAAGATTACTCTGTGTGGGGAATAGAATGTGGAGGAACAAAGGAAGAAGCAGGAAGCCCAGATAGAAGGCATAGCGGTCACCACAGAAATGTGCCACTCAGGTCTCCTGCTGCAGGGATTGTAGTTGACTAATGGTCCCAGTCGCCACCTGTCTGGATTCACCACTGCATTCATGTTCATGTTAAAATCATGCTTTCCCTACATGTTGGGGACACCGTTCCTGATGGATATGGGATTCCCCTACTGGGGGACTTTGGCTTAGGGGCTTCTCAGCAACCTGGTTGAGACTGTCACATTAGGAATAGTCTGAGGATTGTCTGGTCCAATCCTGCTTCCTTCCTGTCCTCCTTTCCCATGTGTAAGCCCTGTGTCACAGTCTGAGTTTCTCCCTGCCAGCTCTACTCCTTCCCCCTTATTCTTCACCCAACCAATCTCTTGCAATCTGGTCCCATAGCTTCTGCTTCTCAGAGAACCCAAACTGACACAAAGGGCCACTGCCATAATCCAGGCAAGAGATGGCGGTAGATCAGGTGGTGGTAGAGGAGCTGGTGGACAGTGGTCACATTCTGTATAAATGTGAAGGTTGAAACCAGTAAGTTTCTTGAAAGATTGATTGTATGTGGTGTGAGCAAAAGAAAAGAATCAAGGATAGGTCACGAATTTGGCCTGAGTGATTGAAAGACGAAGTTGTCATAGACTGAGATGGGGAAGGCTATGGGAGGAGCAGGTCTGGGCAGTGAAGTTAGGAGTTCGTTTTGGACATGTTCTGTTTGAGATGGCTATGAGACAGCCAAATGAACGTTTCAGGTAGGCAATTATATATGAGCTGGGAGTTTCAGGGAACAGTCTGGGCTGGAGATATAATTTTTGAAATCAGGAGTCTATAGACGATATAGAGAGCTATGAAATCTGCTGAGATCATCAAGAGTGCGAGCATAGATGGAGGACAGAAGAGGATAAGGTCTGAGTCCCAGAGCACTGCAACCTTAAAAGGGAGGGGAGAAGAGGAGAAACCAAAAAAGGAGATAAACAGGAGCCACAGTAAAGTAGGAGGGAAAGCAAAGGTGGTCTCCTGGAGGCCAGGTAAGGAAGGTGCTCTGTGAATCAGAACAAAGCCAAAGATGGGTGGCAAATATTAATTCCAGTTTATAAAAAATGAGGTTATTATGGCACACTCTTCTCCTTTCCCTCCTTTTTACTCTCTTTCCTTTACAAAAAAAAATCTCTATTAAAAAATTCCCTCTTTGGAGTCCTTTCCCGCCTCCCCTTTTCCCTTCCTTTCTAATCTCTTCAATTAATGGCTTAGCTCCAATACCAAAACTACAGGCAATTTGGGTCTTTTCAAACAGAGCAGTAGATTATTTTTTGAAATCCAAAAAACCCACTACATGGTGATAAAGAAACTAGCAGTCAGAGGACACTGACATAGAATTTGTCTCTCCTCCTCCTCCTTTTCCTCTTTCGCATGGTGGACCTTGGTTTCCCAGGTGGATTTAGGGGCCTTCTACATGAGCCAAGTTCCTCATATTTTCATACAGGTAAAATATACACTCAGGCAGTCACTTAGTAGCTTTAGTGTCTTCTTCTTCATCTCTAAGCAGGTGAACAAGTCTCCCTTCTGACTCATGAACATATGAGATCCCTGGATACTTTTTGGAAGTAAAAGTGTAAGGTATAATCTTTTATGGGACTATGTAAAAATTATTCAGGAATCACAACCATCTTCTTTCATTCCAGTCTTCTTGCATTGGAGAAGACTCAAACCTCCTATAGATTATTTAATACATGTTTTATTGATTTGTTTTTAGAGAGAGAGGAATGGAGAGATAAAACATCCATGTGAGAGAGATACATCGACCAGCTGCCTCCTGCACGCCTCCTACTGGAAATCAAGCCTGCAACCCAGGCATGTGCCCTGACTGGGAATCAAAGTGGTACCTTTCAGTCCATGGGATGATGCTCAATCCACTGAGCTACACTGGCAAGCCTCCTATAGATTAAATTTGGACTTGGATGAAGTTGTAGTAATTTCTCATTTGGCTGCAACTGGGAACATAGCAAATACCCCAGCTTGGCCTCAAGGCTCCTTCCTCCCCATGTAGCATCACACTTTGTGGGAAGGTCATCCACTGAGGGCTGCTGCGGCCTTGTGTTCTCAAGTCTACCACTTATGGTTTACATGAGTCAACTGAAACTTTGTCCCACACATTACAGTTCTCATCTGGTTGTTTATCTCTCCAACTGTGTTGAGAGCACAACACATGACTCAACCATGTGCTGGGCTGCCTTGTTCTGGATCCCCACCAGACTGTGCACATCCTTTTCCAACTCTGCATCCAAGGACGTCATGCTGGTAGCTTGAAACCAGCTGGAGGAGAGGGGTGTATGGAAGGAGAAGAGGAATCTATACCACAGAATTCTGAAACAAGGAAATCTATAAATGCTTAAAATGAAGAGTTTCCCGTACCCTCACTGCCCCGCCCCCCACTCCCAGAAGCTGATTTTATTTTATTTAATTATTTATTTTTATCCTCATCCGAGAACATTTTTCCATTTTTTGTACAGATAGAGTGGGAGGGAGAGAGAGGAAGAGAGAGAGAGAGATATCGATGTGAAAGGGACACATCGAGTGGCTGCCACCCTCACAACAAACCAGGGCTGGGGACAAACTGCAACTGAGGTACATGCCCTTAGCGGGAACCAAACCCGGGTCTCTCTAGACCGCAGGCCGACGCTCTAACCACTTAGCAAAACTGGCCAGGGCCCAGGAGCTGATTTTAAATATCTACCAGCATGTTATAAGATGATGTTCTTATTTTGTAACTTTGGCATTCTAACAGTGTGCCATGAAGACAGTAAGTGTTCAGTAAATATTTCTTGAATGAATGTTTAAAAAAACCCTATTATAACTAGCAGTCAGAGTCCACCCCCACCACCCCCCAGGACATTCTCATTATTTGTGTCCAAACAAAGTTCCTCCTTCCTGCTTTCTGCTCCTGAATTTAGCTATGTCTCATGACACTTCATGTACCTTGTAGTAGGTAGTGATTACTAAATGTTACATATAAATGTGGCTCCTTTTCTTAGGTGGCTTCACAAGGCCTTAATGATATATGTGCGCCCCCACTCCCACCCCTACCCCAGCTGGGAAGGTTCCTACACATTTGTTACCAAGTTACTCCTGTGTCTGTGTGGCATGTTTCTGCTCAGTCTTCTCATTTGCTCTTCAGAGCAACTCTGTGGCAGACCTAGGGCAGGCATGAGGAGGCCGAGTCCTAGACATGTTCAACACTTTGATGACACACAAGTTCTAAGGCACAGAGTTGGAGCTAGAACTCATGGCATCAAAATCCTAGGCCAGGCCCATTTCCAATTTCAGCCTGAAATCAGACACCTTCTGAGACCTTGACTGCTCCCTCCTGTGTCTGCCCCTTGCCTGTGTCTGAGAAGAGCTTCTCTCTACATCTGTCCTCCTCCTCAGGTCTGAAGGTCATTGTGGGGGCTTTGCTGCGCTCAGTGAAGAAGCTTGTCGATGTGTTGATCCTGACTCTCTTTTGCCTCAGCATCTTTGCCCTGGTAGGTCAGCAGCTCTTCATGGGGAATCTGAACATGAAATGCGTCAGGAAGGACTGTCCCCAGATCAACGGTAAATTTAACGGTAAATACCCCACTTTTTATTCCTTAGTTCTTGCATAGCTAACATTGTTCTATTCCCACTCATGCTATCTATATGTGTGCAGTACAGTGCATTTTAGGAGCAAGGGATGACCTCATCCATCCAGGGTTTTCTTGTGGGCAGATGCATGTCTTAGAGAGTTGCCTCATTCTTTGAGTTTCTTTGGAAAAAGAAAAGCCCAAGGTCACATCGACAAGAACAGTGTCCCACACTTTCCTACAAAGATTTCTGCCTGCTTCTTTGACATGTTTTGCAGAAGTCTTCAGAACACCTAGGTTTGGCCAAAGCAAACCAGCAATGGCCCACCCCACAGACCTGAGTATTTTCTTCAATGATACCATTTCTTTCTACCTTGTACCCTCTTCACACTAAAGTTGGCCTTACACCAATTACATATGTGCTGAATCTCATGTGGTTATACTTTCTCTATGTCTGTCTTGGTTTATGAGCTTCTCAAGGACTGAGTCTGTGGCCCTCTTCCTTTGGGGGTGGTCTCTACTTCAGTTTTGTGTACTGAGAGGCAGAATGATGGTTATGTCACTGCTCCCTCTCCCCTTTCTTCCTTTTTCCTTTTCCTCCCTTTCTCTTGCTCCTTTCTAGTGGTTTAGGCTCCAGTGCCTCGCTGGAAACCCACTTTGATCATTCTAGAGAGTTCTGAACCATCTGTTTCAAGTATAACCTGGCATATTTGCTGTTCTCTTTTATTTCAGTGGTTTCTTTTTTTATCTGAACTTATGATTCTTTTCTTCTCAGAGACTTGTTTTGAAAAAGATTCCACTGAATTCAAATTGTGTGGTGGTACCTGGTCAAATAAAAGGTAAGAAGCTTATATTCTCCATTTTTCTCTCAAGCAGAGCAACTCTAGACCTTGTGAAGTAGTGTGACAAGCAGTCTTCATCTAATGATTTGAGGAAAATAGTGATCATGGTTCTAAACAGTACTGACTATTTCATATGTCTAAGCAAGTTTAGATGTGTATTGTGAAATTAAAAATTAATTCCAAGTGTTCAGAGCAGCGCTCTCTCCCAAGTTATATTGAATTTGAAACTTATCAGAAACCTGCTGAACATGTGGTGATATTTTAACTCTATGGAGTGGATATTCTGAGCTTTCAAAGGTAAGAAAGGACATTATGGTAGAGAGCCCCATGAAGTTCTTGTGTCTTGTTCAATGGCATCACCCTGGCACAAGGCCATCTGAGCATGCTTCTATTTGCTGACCTGTTGACCACCACTGCCTCTAATTATGTTCATAGTTGTATGTGGGTTCATACACATTCATTCCAACAACTGGTAGCTCTCTGGCCCTTTGGGGGATACCCTTCTTTCTTCCAGGACATCAGTGGTGAGAGACTCAATTCAATAAAGATTTATTGAGTGTATTTCAAATTAAGATAATATACTAAGCACTCTGATGAAATAGACCATGTTCATTCCTCAATAACAAATATGTATCAAGGGCTACAGCATGCCAAGTTCTGTATTAAATCCAAGGAACACAAGTATGAACAGGGGAGTTCTGCCCTCTTTTTTTTTTTTTTTTTTATCCTCACCCGAGGATATTTTTCCATTTTTTGTTCAGATAGAGTGGGAGGGAGAGAGAGGAAGGGAGAGAGAGAGAGAAACATCGACGTGAAGGGACACATCGAGTGGCTGCCACCCACACGACCAACCAGGGCCGGGGACAAAGTGCAACCGAAGTACGTGCCCTTAGCGGGAACCGAACCCGGGTCTCTCCGGACCGCAGGCCGACGCTCTAACCGCTGAGCCAAACCGGCCAGGGCCTTTTTTTTTTTTTTTTTTTTTTTTTTTTGAGTTCTGCCCTCTTGAGATGACATCTTGCAGGGAGGAGGAATGTGGAGTAAATTCTTGAAAGTGTAAGGAGTGTTATAAGAGATGTACAGATACTGAGAGAGAGAGAACAGGGGATGAAACCCTGTCAATGAAAGTAGGGAAGGCTTTTTAATGCCACTTGTGGTGACCACAGGTTTAGATTAGGTCAAACTCACAAAATGTAATAGGCTTTAATCTAATACAAGGTTTCCTGAGCTCTCTAGACTGATCCTTGACAAGACACACTGTACCTATGGTGTTTTCATTTAATGAGGGCCCAGCAGCTGTTACATACAATGCTTCTTTGACCCCTCATACATGCAAGGCAGGTATGGTTACTGTAGGCAAAATCCAAGATGGGGTGGGCCACCTGGACGCACAGAAACAGTTCTAAGCATGTGTCACAGTCACAATTCTCTGGGTATGGTCTCAAAGCTCAGGAATTTTATAGTAACCAACTCCAAGAACACATTGATCATAACAGCAATTTTCAAAGAGATGTAAGATCCAAGGTCACCTTCCCAGGCAGGCTGTGGTCTGTTCAGGGCCCAGGCCTGGTTTTCCATATTCGCTCACTGCCTCCTTCCCTGAGGATTAACTGACTGTTGACTACAGTGTGGCTCTGAAGCATGAGTAGAAAGTTCTGGTAGGTAAGGAGATAGAGCAAACAATACAAGATAGTAGTAACAGCGAGAGTGAAGGCTTTGGGTATTGAGAACGTGTTAGGGATAGTAAGAAGTCCTGCAGCTTGTTATGCAGAGAGGTGGGAGACAGGAGCCAACCATGTAGGACCTGGTAGCCCATCAGTGCCAAGGATTTTGACCTTGATCGTGAAGGAAACAAGACCTGAGCAGATTAGATATTTTTAAAGATCACATGGCTGCTATGTGGAGAATTCATGGATAGAGTGATGAGATAGCCACTGAGGAGGCTATGTCAGTACAGATAAGAGTCATGAAGCTGTACAGTGGAGATGGAAAGATATGGATGGGTTCATTCCAAAGATATTTAGGACAGAAAGAACCAGAGCTGTGAACTGAAGAGGAGTGTTGGCATATGTACACAAATGCCTGTGTAGGACAGTGGTGGGAAGTGCAGAGGAGAGAACACTGCTATAGGTGTTTCTCTTGTTTCTGGTGTGACTGGTGATGCCTTTGCTGAGATGAGAATGCTGGGATCCAGAGAGGAGGCGATGGAACAAAACAAACTTATATTTTGAATGGTGACCAGGAAATGAGGGATATGAAGTATGATAGTAGGTTTAGCCCCAACAGCCTCCTGGAAGATAAAGGCAGTGAGACTTCACAGAATTTCAATGAGGTTTAATAGGAAAGGGCACAATAGATGTCCTCCTTCCCAGTCACCCTAAAGCAAAGCCTACTATTCATCAAGTCCCACTCTGCCCACCAAGCAAATGCCCAATTCTGCTTGTCAGAAACTCTGATCAAATGTGACCGAACAGCCCTGGCTCACCAGGCAACTGAAGAAAGCCTTTGGCATAGGAGGTTGAGATAAAGCAACAGAAAAAGCAACTGTTGTCTTACTTCAGGTGGCTATAACAAAATACCATAGGCTGTGTGGCTAATAAACAACAGAAATTTATTTCTCACAGCTCTGGGGGCTGTAAGTCTAAGATTGGCACCAGCATAGTTGGGTTCTAGGGAGGGTCCTCTTCCAGGTTGCAGACTGCCATCTTCTTGTGTCTTCACTTGGCAGAAAGAGGGCTCAAGAGCTCTCTTAGGGTCTCTTTCATAAGGGCTCCACCCCCACGACCGAATTACCTCCCAAAGGCCCCACCTCCTCGCACTGTCACATTGGGGTTTAAAGATGTCAACATATCATTTGGGGAGGGGGCATAAACATTCAGTTCATAAGAACCATGGACAATACAACAAGAATTCAGAGACCTAAAAGGGGCTTTTAAAACTTTAAACAGGGTCCTTAGTGAAATTTAAAGAGATATTATATACATGAAAACAAAAATAGCTTGTTTTGAAAAAGGAAAAGCCAGAGAGCAAGAAAGATCCTTCTTTGATAACATGGTTACAAAAATTCAGCAGTATAATTAAGAGATAAAGTTGAGCCCTGGCTAGTTTGGCTCAGCGGTTAGAGCGTCGGCCTGCGGTCTGGAGAGACCCGGGTTCGGTTCCCGCTAAGGGCATGTACTTTGGTTGCAGTTTGTCCCCGGCCCTGGTTGGTCGTGCGGGTGGCAGCCACTCGATGTGTTCCTTTCACATCGATGTTTCTCTCTCTCTCTCTGTTCCCCTCTCCCCCCTCCCACTCTACCTGAACAAAAAATGGAAAAATGTCCTCGGGTGAGGATAAAAAAAAAAAAGAGAGAGGTAAAGTTGAGGAAATAGCCCAGAAAGTAGCAACAAAAGACAGAGACAGAAAATATCAGAATAAATATCAATCAAGTTCCAACTTTTGATAAAGTAGGAATTCTAGAAATAGAATACAGAAAAAACAAAAGGGAAGAAATTAGCAAAGAAATGATACAGAGAATTGCCCCTCATGTTCCATGAAGTACCCCACACAACAAATGGAAAAGGACCATGTCAAGTGCATTATCATGGCATTTCAGAATCGTTGCAGGGAAAAGATCTTAAAGCCAAAGAGAAAAAGGTCATCTACAAAGAATCAAAAATCAAAATGGCATCAGAAGTCTCACTAGTAACACAGAATAGTAGCTGAGCAGTGCCTTCATATTATTTCTAAGAAAAAAGGATTTTCAACCCAGAATTCTGTTTCTGGCCAAACTATCAATCAATTATGAAGGTAGAATAAAATTATGCTCATCTATGCAAAACCACCCAATCTTCCTAGGAAGCCACATGGGATTTGCTTCAGAAAAATGATTAAGTAAAACAGAAAGAGCAACACAAGAGCCAAGAAAAAATGTATTCGACCCGGGAGAGCCATTGACATGGGCCACCGTATTTTCCTATGAAGAGCGATATAAATAGTGATGAAGTAGGACAGGATTAATCTCCATAGCAAGAAGTTTATCAACAAGGACTAAAATTGATCAGTTAAATATAAGTATTATATTTAGAGATGTGGACATTAAAAGGTTAAAAGTTGTTGAATTTGGGATGTGTAAATGATGGTTAAAGAATGATGGGCCCTGTTGGTGTGGCTCAGTGGATTGAGAGGTCACAGTTTGATTCCTAGTCAGGGCACATGTCTAAGTTTTGGGCTTGATCCCCAGCAGGGGCATGCAGGAGGCAGCCAATTGATGTTTCTCTTTCACATCAATGTTTCTATCTCTCTCTCTCTTAAAAAAAAAAATCAATAAAAACATTAAAAAAAAAAAAAAAAGAATGATGGCATGGTTTTCATTACAAGCCTAGGTGCCATGTGATTTTTAAACTACACATGGTTTTACTTTGATAAAAATACCATATTTGTCCTGGCCAGTTTGGCTCAGCGGTTAGAGCGTCGGCCTGCGGTCCGGAGAGACCCGGTTTCGGTTCCCGCTAAGGGCACGTACTTCGGTTGCAGTTTGTCCCCGGCCCTGGTTGGTCGTGCGGATGGCAGCCACTCGATGTGTCCCTTCACGTCGATGTTTCTCTCTCTCTCTCCCTTCCTCTCTCTCCCTCCCACTCTATCTGAACAAAAAATGGAAAAATATCCTCGGGTGAGGATAAAAACAAAACAAAAAAAAACATATTTATTAAAAATTAAGAAAGTGTATGCCCTGGCTAGGTGGCTCAGTTGGTTTAGTGTTGTCCTGTACAGTAAAAGGTTGCAGGTTTGATTCCCATTAGGTTGCTGGTTCTATCCCCAGTTGAGGCACCTAGAGGAGGCAACTGCGCCACGTTTCTCTCTCTTCCCCTTCCTGTCTCTCTAAAAATCAATAAAAACATATCCTTGGATGAGGATTAAAAAAATAAAAAGAAAGTGCATACCCTTAGTATATCATATAAATACACTTTCAGTGTATGCTTTGCACATCGATGTGGGCAAAGACTTGTGTGCAAGATATCCATTGTCTGTAGAGTAAAACCCAAATGTTTGGAAAGGCAAAAGACTGTTAATAACTAAAATTTAAATATTCACCATTAGCAGAGAAGTTAGATAAATAGTAGGATTGTAAGGCATGAAAAGAAATGAGGTACCTTTCAGTATGCTGATAATGGAAAGACCCTCAAGCTATATTGATCCACGAAAAAAGCAAGGTGCATGAGAGTGTTTAAAAAATGCTTTCATTTATGAATTATAGAGGATTTGTATTGATAGATATATGCTTCTACATTCATAGAAAACTTCTGGAAAGTTATAAAAGTAAGTTAAACTGTTGCCTCTAGGAAGTAGGATTGAGGGTTGGGGGAGAGAGGTAGACTTGGTATTTATTATATGCCCCTTTCTACTGTTAATTGTTCACTATGTTGCTGCACTTAATTTTTCGATGAAAAACTGCTAATGTGAATTTCCCAATCAATCTACTTGAAAAGAGTCAATGGGTACCCATATTAGGATATAGGCTGGGAGGGTTGACAGACAGGGGGATGGCCACTCTACAGATACTCTCTTCACCCAGGACTTGTGGGTGTGACCCCATGGCCCTCAGCAGAACCGGTGAGTGTTATGGGGTGGGGAGGGAAGTTGGACTGTAGGGAATATTATTCTTTCTCTGTTCTCTTGTTTCCCATATCTAGCGTCTGTTCTGAGCAGTATGAATGCAACAACACCCACATGAATCCTGACTATGGCTATACAAATTTTGACAACTTTGGCTGGTCTTTTCTTGCCATGTTCCGGCTTATGACCCAAGATTCCTGGGAGAAGCTTTATCGACAGGTTATTTGTTTTTTGTTATCTCTCTCCCTCCCTCTCCCTTTCTCTCTCAATATATCTACCATGAATTTACAAAGTACCATCTGTTCTTCACCTTTGTCATCTGTTTCTCATCCTTAACAGTGGTACTGTTACATCATGCTTTAGAAATTCTATTAGAAACATCCAAAAGATTATAAACATGATATATGGAAGAATAGTGCATAATCACTTCTCTTCTTAGAAACATGACAGCTCTCCAGATTCCCTCCTGCCTGAAGTTCCACCAATAGTGCTTCAGTTTCCATGAAGCATTGCTATCACTCTTGCCTTTTAAATTTTAAAATGCAAACGCTCTGGAGAAAGTTATAGGAAATTCACTGAGACTTCCATGGGAACATATGGATAGCATCTCCTCCCTGAGAGACAGGGTTTCAGGAGTCCTTGAGTAACTGGGGAGGCTGTAGATGATGCTGTGGGCAGCTGATCCAACCAGTGCTGGGGAAGACCCACTGGTACTGTACAATTTCTACTGAAATGATGGTCACCCTGTGTGGAGGAAGCTTCAGGTGTCCTCATGTGCTCTGTCCCTTGCAGACCTTGCGTACCTCTGGGCCCTTCTCAGTCTTCTTCTTTGTGGTCGTCATCTTTCTGGGCTCTTTCTACTTGGTTAACTTAACCCTGGCTGTTGTCACCATGGCTTATGAGGAACAGAACAGGAATGTAGCTGCTGAGACAGAGGCCAAGGAGAAGATGTTCCAGGAAGCCCAGCAGCTGTTAAAACTGGAAAAGGAGGTAGGGGCTCATGGGGTCAGACAGTGGGTTCTATTTAGGGGGACTCCAGAGGCCGTGGGGCCTGAGGCTCAGACTGCTGCATGAGGCCTGGTCACAGCACTCGACCTACTGGTGCTTTTTGGAGAATTTAAACCTCTTGCAGTCTCGTTCTGCTGCTATCTGTCACAAAGTTGTCCAGGTACCAGGCTCTTGGGCACAAGGAACCCTTGGTTTGGGTTCTTTGACCTTCTGAAACCTGGGCCTTCTAGGACAGATTCCAAATTGCTGGCTAGAGGAGATATATATATCTCTCCATGTTCTGCTCCAGGCCTTCTTGTGGGAAGCTGGAGATGTTTGTGTTCAGGGCCTTTGCCTGAGAGGGTCTGGGACGTCAATAATGGTGGCTCTAGAGACAACAGTCATGATCCTCTCTCCCTTCTTGAAATTTCTGTCACATATATAGGCCATTCTCATTGTTTTCCTGGTATCTTTATATTTTTTTCTAGTTCAATTCTTAAGATTTTCAGGGCAGGGACCATGTCTTACACTCCTCATCCTCTAGAGATTTGTCAGGGGGAAACCTATAGTATGTGCTTAATTTCTGCATCACAGGCACACACATTTATCCAGTGCCTAGCATATTGGACACTGTGCTAAGGGTTACTGATACAGAGATATGAAAGAGTCTGCCCTGCCATTGAGGGCTGCAATCTCCATGAGCAAACAAGACATGTTCCCCAGATAAAGGAGCTAGCATATTCCAATCAGGTGATGAGCAGTCTACATGATACAGTGCTACCAGAAAAAGGGGAAAGTGCTCTCTAAGGTCAAGGTCATTGGAGTGTTTCATAGGGAGGTATAATATGTCCATTAATTACTTTTGTTCATTTTCTAAGGCTCTGATTGCCATGGGAATTGACAGAAGTTCACTAAATTCCCTGGAAGCATCATCTTTTTCCTCAAAGAAGAGAAGGCTACTTGGTAAAAAGAAAAGAAAGTCCTTCTTTTACAGAGAGTCTGAGAAACAACAGGTTCCGGGATCAGATTCTGATGAAGATTCCCCAAAAAGGGTAAGTATTGGCTGAGGAATTAATAATAGGTCAAGTTGTCAATTTAATTGAAATAATTCATTCATTCATTCATTCATCCATTTACTCATTTATCTGCTCCTCCATTTGCACATACTTTTATTCACCCATATGTCTATTCAATTACCCATTTATTTACAAACATCTATTTAAAGTGTTGACAGTGTTTACTATCTGCTTGGCACTGGGGATACGTGAGATGTATAAGACAAACAACTAATGATGAAAACACACTACAAAGGAGATAGTTGTTGTTCAATGTGATGACTGACATGATGGCTGCTGTGGGAGAATAGCATTCCATCCCAGGCAAACCCTGAGACGTTAGAGTGCAAGGTTATTCAGAAAGTGATCCCAGGAAGCACTGGTTATCTGCTTCAGATCACCAACCCAGACCTGGTGGGGGCTGGAGGAAGAAGAGCAGTAGATCAGAAAAAAGTTCCTAGAGGAAGCACTGCATCTGAGCTGATACGATGGATTAATAGGCAAAAGGAAGAATTGAACACTGCAGGTAGAGAGAACAACACATGCAAAAGCAAAGGCCTGGAAACAGAGGAGAGCAGGAGAACATGACCCAGTAGAAAACTTGCAAGAGTGTGTGTGTGATGAGGCTGGAATGGATGTAACAAGAGGCCATGGTGGTAAGATGGGAACCATCACCAAAGACCTTGGAACCAAGGTAAGGAGTTCACCCTTTTACACCGAGAGCAAGGGGTTAAGCAGCATTGAAAAGTTGTAAACAAAAGAGTGATATGACCAGATTAGCAGTTTTGCATTGAAGAGAGGGGTTTGGAGGAGGGCAAGACTAGATTCAACCAATTAAGAAGTTGTTGCAGGACTTCCGGTCAAGACGGCGGGTAGGTAAACGCGGTATCGCGTCCTCCCACAACCACATCAAAGTTACAACTAAACTACAGAACAACCATCATTCAAAACCGCCTGAAATCAAGCTGAATGGAAGTCCTACAACTATGGAATTAAAGCAGCAGCCACATCCAGACTGGTAGGAGGGGCGGAGGCGCGAGGGGCAGCGGAGGCGGAGGAGGCAGCGGTGGCGGCGGCGTGAAGGGCTGGTCCCACACCCACATGTGGCAGATAAAAATCAGGAGGATACTTTGGCTGGGAAGGTCCTTCCTGAGGACTGAGGGGTCCCCGTCCCACACCAGGTGCCCTGCGCAGGGTTCCAGTGCCAGGAAGAGAAGTTCCCATAACTTCTGGCTGGAAAAACCAGCAGGAACTGAGGCTCAGGGAAGCTGATGCGGCTGGAGCCCCAGGCAGCTCCTTAAAGGGCCCGTGCATGGACTTATCGGACTCTCTCCCTCTAAGCTTAGAGGGGAGGCAGCTCGAGGGGCACCAGAGACATACAGGGAAGAACTGAGCTGTTTGGCACTGGAGCAAGGACTGGAGAGGGGGCTTTCTCTGGGACAAATGTGCTGTCAGAGGCCTTTGTTCCTTTGGTGAGCCCTTCCCTGGGGCGGCAAACAGAAGCCACATCTGGGACTCCAGCAACCTGGCTCACACTGGTAGCCCTGCCCTGGTGACTCCCTGAGGCCCCGCCCCACCCCACCCAACTTTCAGGCCCACCCAAGCTGTTGCCACTTGCTTAACCATAGGATTGGCCTGTCTTGGATCCTGCTTCAGGTTTTTCCTAAATTCTTTCAAATGAGCAGCATCTGGTCTCAGCTGGCCCCATACCCCTTGTTAAGTAATACACTGAAACAAACACAGGGAGGCAGCCAAAATGAGGAGACAAAGAAACAGGTCCCAAATGAAAGAACAGAACAAAACCCCAAGAAAAGAACTAAGCGAAATGGAGATAAGCAACCTAACAGATGCTGAGTTCAAAATACTGCTTATAAGGATGCTCAGTGAACTTAGTGAGAACCTCCGTGAACTTAGGGAGGGCCTCAAGAGCATAAAAAAGGACCAGTCAGAAATCATGGATGCACAGTTAGAATTGAAGGAGGCATTAACTGAAATAAAGAATAATTTACACAGCTTCAATAATAGAGTACGTAAATCCAAGGAGCAAACCATCGATTTGGAATATAAGGAAGCAAAAAATGCCCAATCAGAACAGCAAAAAGAAAAAAGAATCCAAAAAAATGAGGATAGTGTAAGGAGCCTCTGGGACAACTTCAAGCGTGCCAACATTCGCATCTTGGGGGTGCCAGAAGGAGAAGAGCGAGAACAAGAAATCGAAAACCTGTTTGAAACAATAATGGCAGAAAACTTTCCTAACTTGGTGAAGGAAACAGACATACAAGTCCAGGAAGCACAGAGAGTCCCAAAAAAGATGAACCCCAAGAGGCCCACACCAAGACACATCATCATCAAAATGCAAAAGCTTCAAGACAAAGAGAGAATCTTAAAAGCAGCAAGAGAAAGGCAGCTAGTTACCTACAAGGGAGTTCCCATAAGGTTGTCAGCTGATTTCTCAAAAGAAACTTTATAGGCCAGAAGGGAGTGGCAAGAAATATTCAGAGTGATGAAAAGCAAGAACCTACAACCAAGATTACTTTATCCTGCAAAGCTGTCATTTAGAATCGATGGCCATATAAAGACTTTCCCAGACAAGAAAAAGTTAAAGGAGTTCATCACCACCAAACCGTTATTATATGAAATGATGAAGGGTCTTTTTGAAGAAAAAGATAAAATATATGAACAAACAAAATGGCAATGAATACATATCTATCAACAATGGAATCTACAAACAAAATGAACAGGCAGAACAGAAACATTCTCATAGATACAGAGAACATTTTGTTGGTTGCCAACTGGGAGGGGGGTTGGGGGAATGGGTGAAAAAGGTGAAGGGATTAAGAAGTACAAATTCATTGCTAGACTGACAAACCTCAAAGGGAAAGGGGTTGGGGGGGTGGGAAGAAATAAACCAAAGAACTTCTATGCATAACCAATGGACACAGACAATAATATGGGAAAAGGCGGGAGGGGGGCGGGAGTGGGGAGGAGGGGGTCAATGGGGGAAAAACGTGGGACATCTGTAATACATTTTACATTCAACAATAAAGATTTTTTTTTTTTAAAAAAAGAAGTTGTTGCAATAATCCAAGTGAGAGGTGACAGTGACTTAAACTATGGTTAGAGCAAGGAGGACGAGAAGAGATTAACAGATTACAGTGATCTACAGAAGATAAAATTTGGCACTTGACTAGATATAGAGGGTCAGGATAATGCCTAGTTTATGGCTTTGGTGGTTGACATGATGGAGGGTAATTTACTGAGACAGGAGAGGAACTTGTTCTGGGGATGTCGAAGATAGCCAGTTCAGTTTTGGACCATCAATTTTGAGGTACTTATGGAGCATCCAAGCAGGGAGATTGAATAGCCATACAGGCATACAGAAATGAAGTTATTGGGGGATATGCAGTAGGGGGAAAAAGCTGTTCTTATCATTAAGGTGGGAGATGTTTAAACATGTTTTAATTGTGGAGAGAGAAGTTAGAAACAGGGAAAATGTTGAAGATAACAGGCCAGGGAATAATGGCTACACCATTTTCCTGGGACACAATGAAGATGAAATGGGGAACAGGTGTGTGTGTGGGTGGGGGAGGGAATTGAGGAGCCTTTGCAGAAGTAGATGGACAGATGTCATCCACTGCTGTGAGAAGTCTTCTGGTGGAGTGATATGGTTTAGAGGCTTTCCTGCTGTCAAACCATAGCATATTGAAGAGACTGCAAGTACTTTTTAAAAACTTGGAAGTTTCTCCTTGTTCCACAAAGACAAAGACCCAGACACTTAAATAGAAAGTGTCTTTTCTCTTTAAATAGAACAGGATATAGCTATATAAAGATTACAGGTTGCCACCCTGACCCATGTGGTCCAGTGGTTAGAGCATCAGCCCATGCACCAAAGGGTCACAGATTTGATTCCCCAGTCAAAGTCATGTACTTGGCTTGTAGGTTTGATCCCCAGCCCTGGTTGGGGCACATTCAGGAGGCAACCAGTCAATGTATCTTTCTTACATCCATGTTTCTATCTCTCTCTCCCTCCCTCTCTCCCTTCTTTCCACTCTCCATAAAAATCAATGGGAAAAAAATATCCCTGATTGAGAACAACAGCAGCAAAAAACTACAGGTTGCCTTTAGAATAGGTTATCACAGAGGGATAGTTCCCTCTGGGGTCTGGTTGGTCGAAACTTTTGGAAAATAAGTCGTTATAGATACTCAAGTTTCCTGGATAGCTAATGATTTATGCCCTTTAATCTCCAGAGAATTTAGAATTGTAGGTATGGTAGGGTCAGTAAGCTCTTGGGCACAGCCTGAGAGAGTGCTCGAAGGTTACTACATAGATTTTACGATATTTATTTTGATTGTTTTCTTCAATTACTAACTGTTTCAAAATCTATTTAGGCAGCCATTCAAGGTACTTTTCTCTCTGGCCCTAATCCACTTTGCTAAATTTATCTTTCCCTCTCAAACATTGCTTCCAAATTAGACTTTTTATTGCTTCTATACCCTGAATCATTGCTCATTAGTTTTTGTAAAACATTGTTTGCTTTTTATTAACAGTGAATAAATCACAGAGAAAGATTTTTGAAGATAAGCCTCTCAAAATGAGCATGTATAAGAAATATGAATGGTCAAACCATAGTTCTCTTATTTATTATGTACAAGATAAGAGAACTGAACACTTGTCATGCTATGATCTTGAAACGAGTCAGCCTATGTAACGCGTTGAACACCTTGCTGTGGTGACATTGAAACTCAGTAGGTTGTGAAGTTTTGAGGAGAGGCATCTTCTTCCCTTAGAAGGTCCACCATGTCCTCTTTTACAGCCGCACCTCCTAGAGCAAACCAAACGACTGTCCCAGAACCTGTCAATGGACCTCTGTGAAGAACATATAGACCCCTTTCAACGGCAGAGGGCGCTGAGTGCTGTCAGCATCCTCACTATCACCATGCAGGGTAAGTTCTGCCTCCCAGCCCAAGGGAGAGGCTAACTTCAGTGATGTCCTTACATTCTGCCTCTCTTCAGCCCCACCAGAAGCCTTCTGCAACCTGCTGTACTTCTTTTTTTTTTGGTACGTGCCCCTAGTGGGAACCAAACCACGGGACTCTCTGGTCCACAGGCTGACACTCCAACCGCTGAGCCAAACCGGCCAGGTCCCCACTGTACTTCTTGCAAAGAGTAATTTCCTGTGCTTTTTTGGAGCATGTGAGTAAAGTGGTTTGGAAGAAGCAGGTCTTCCCTGTAGGCCTATCCTGCACTGGCACTTTGGGTAGTGTGGGAACTGGCTTAACAGGACCAAGAGCATAAACAGAATCTCCTGATTAGGCCAGGCAGTCACAGGAGGTGCCAGTGATGATGATACTCAGCCTTAAAGAGAAGACATAGACGTTTCCAGACACAGACAGTTGTCATTGAAGTTAGAATTAGGGATCTGGCATGGACAATAGAAGACCTGTGTAGACAGGCTGGATCCATCTGATGGACCTGGTTAACAGCAGGTAACAGGGACCCAAGTAAAGGGTTGGTGTTCAAAGGCAGGACTCAAGTCGCTGCAAGGACAGGGCCAGATGGCTTACTCAGCACTTTTGTGCCTATTGCATCGCCTCATTTGGCTTGCATGAGTGGCTGAAGCGGTTCCTGGGAAATCAGAGCAGCAGCTGCTTTTGGACCTGAGCTCAGCCTGCATATAGAGTGTCACTTGTCTCAGTGCATCCAGAAGTTCCTGTCTGGGATCTCTCCTGCCCGAGCCCTGCTAGCTCCTGGATCTCGGGCACGGCATGGTCCGCCTTGAGCAAACATCACATGGGCTGTGTCTGTCTCTGTCACGGGTTCCCAATATAAGTATAAAGATTTGTAGACGAGGATAAAGACTTGATGTACTTGACTACGCCACATGCAGGTTGTATGTGGAAAATCTTTCTGGCTACACCAGTTGGTGCCCTTCTTGACTGGTCATGTTGTGTCACAAGAGACTGGGGAAAAGGGAAAAAGAAATACACTCAGGCAGAGAGCAGTGAGACTGGTTCTGAGATCACTCCTCAACTGCTCTTTCATTCTCCTTCTCCAGAACAAGAAAAATTCCAGGAGCCTTGCCTCCCATGTGGGGAAAACCTGGCATCCAAATACCTCATCTGGGACTGTAGCCCCCATTGGCTATGCTTTAAGAAGGTCATGAGAATGGTGATGACTGACCCCTTTACTGAGCTGACTATCACCATCTGCATCATAATCAACACTGTCTTCTTGGCCATGGAGCATCACAGAATGGACCCTGGTTTTGAGTCGATGTTGCAAACAGGAAATACGGTAACTTTGGGCTTTTGACAATATAAAGCACATTTCAAACTTTGAATTCTCTTTCAAAGTCTAAACATTTTGTGAGTGGCATAGCCTAACCTAGGTCTTTGGTTCTCTTATGTGGAGTAGAGTGAAAAGGTGACTTTTGGGATTTTGCATTTACCCAGTTTAGTCATTTCCCATGGGCTCTGTGTTGACCTCTCTAGTATGTTCAAGTGTCTTTTTAGTTATCCAGTAGATGACTGAAGAGTCATCCAGTGGTAAGCCAGAAGCAAGTAGATATCTTAAAATGTCAGTTATTCAGGATAATTAAGAAAACATTAACTATATCCAGAAGCCCATAGTAACAAGTATCATGGTCCCTGGTAATACTGATGACATTATTTGTCACCAAATAATGTGACTACCATTACTAGGTGTTATATCCCTGGAAAAATGAGTCTGGGCCTGGCAGCTGTGGGAGGTTTACTTCCAGGAAGAGTGTCTAGAGCTGGTGGGGTGGAGTAGGGTAGGGTTCCAGACTGGAGCCTGCTTCAATATATTTTTCATTGGATGGACCTAGTCTCAGTTAGATTGGGAAAACTAAGGTAAGAGAGGGGACTTTTTGTTATTACTGAAGAAGGCATTTTTCCCCCAAAGGAAAATTAGTCCTCCAAATATTATAAATAACAAAAAATTACCCACTGAATGTTCTATCCTAATTAGTTAATGAGTTAATAAAGCTAAAAATGTCACCAGAGTACCTAATCTTTTCTTCTTAAAGCTTTATTTTATTTTTCCAATTTAAAAAGTAATATATGCTTTTTTAATTTTAAAAATAAGGGAAAATACAAAGAAAGGAAACAAAGAAACTCATATCCTATGGTCCTACTAGCAAAGATAATCATTATTTAGCACTGCTGAGTATTTCCAGGCAGTATGTATGTATGTATGCATGATTTTTTTAATTTTTTTTTTTTTTACATTGATGAGAACCCACTGTACCTATTGAATCAGGAATTGGTCCACAGACCTGCGTCTGCATCAAGTTTAGGGTGGTGTAGAACTGAAGACAAGCACCTCTCACCCTCAGTCCCTCTCACATTCCTCCCAGGAGGACCACGGCTGCAGTGAGACGGCAGTGCCAGATCAGGGTGGTTCTCCTTACAGACAGTGTGTCTACGTTCCTGTCCCCATACTGCCTTTGGGAGAGGTGCCCTGTGGATTTGCATGGATCGGATTAGATTCCGTGCTGCATGATAACCCTAACACACACTGTACCTTCTGATAGGTGCGGTCTTCTGGGCTCTGAGCCAGTGTACTCAGCGATCCCCTGCTCAGGTACTCCAAAAATGGGCTGATAGTATTGTTTCACTTGGAAGCAGAATGCTGTACCTTCACAACCATGCTTCCTGCCTCAACAGAGTCAGCAGACCCATCTCTCAGCACCTCCTGGTGGATGGAGTTACTGGATAAGTTCCAGAGAATATCCAAAGGACTCAGAGTTATTCCTTGGACAGGGCTTTGCAATTCCAAAGGTGGTCTGTCCATCGCTTCATCAGCTGGTCCAACTGTGAGAAATAACAAAAGCCCCCCTCTCAGACCCCCACTGGCAAGGCATCCTGGATGTTGAGATGAAGCTGCATTTTGCAGCCAGAAGCTGGCTAATTAAGTAACTTTCTTTTTCACGCTCTCCAGAGGCAGGAGGAAGCACAGGGAGGGACATTATTGATATCTGGGGACATAGGCAGCAGCTGCACCCCAACTCCTGAAAATTGATGAAGAAGAAACATGTAGAGCTGGCCGCCTAGCCTGTGCTTCCATTCTTTGTGCTTCATTCCCTAGACACACCATACAAAGATGGCAGCCACCCCATCTATTATGCCCTTATGGTGCTGATGAAGGGGGGCCTGGGAGCCTTGAATTCCAAAGAACACATCCAAACCTCCCTGCTTTGATGCGTGGACCAGGATTAAGCTGGCCTGTGGTGATCTATGGGACTGGGCTTGGAAATGGACTCTTTAGGCTTCAGGATTTCTCAAATCAGGGAAGAACATTGAGCTCCCAAGAGGCCATAGATAGCAATTGAATTAGATCGCAAAACCAATGGTGCCAAGGCATCAGGGAGACTGTAGGCCTAGACACCTAAACCCTGTAGGAGACAGGAGGAAGAGGAGTGTGTCAAGGGGGCAAGGATCAGTCCATCACAATGGACTGCCCAGAACAGGCGGCACTGACTGCCTTGAGGTACTAGGTGGGTATGGCACTGAGCAGGGATAGACAGCACTGTTGAAAGGGAAAAGATGGATATAAGCTTTGGATTTTACTTGTCACCCTTGATTTCTTTTTATTTGCCTATCATGGATTTATCTTTGCCTATCCTTTTAACTTATGTCATTTATTTTAGGGATTGAAAAAAATAAATCATACGTAATTGAATTATTTCTAAAAACAGATCATCTGTTACTTTTAATCGGGAGATTTTGTAGTTAATGGGTGGTTGTTTTTCTTTTTCAGAATTGTAGAGGCGAGTCTTATAACTGACAACATTTTAAAAGACTTTAACCCTTTCTATATTACCTTATAATTTTCATACTATTGTCTTTCTCATTTTTATTTGTATGTATATGTGAGATGGAGGATGTGCTATTTGCTATGAGGAAATGCTTTGATTTATCTTCTGAAAGATATAGAAGATAGATTTAGTTATTAATTTAGCTACTATTTATTCAACATTTTGCAAGTTTCTTAAGTCTGTATTTATCTAATTATCAAAAACAAGGCAAAGATTATTTTTGCCTATGGAAAACACATAATTTAGTACTTTTTCTAACGCTTACCTCTCCTTTTAATTCTTTGATACTTTGTTCTGGAATGAAGTGCCCTGCATTCCAAGTGAGTTTTTAGCTCATTCATCCTCCTTTCAGCCATAATAAATCTAAGTTTATCCTGGGAGTTGCTCAAAGACACTTTTCTGCCCCTAGTAATGTTTTTCAGTTCTCTGCTCTGGGCCCCATTTAAATTTTTTTCTGATTAAGGTACTAAGATTGAGTGGTTAGGTGAGCTCCTCCTGGATTCCACTTTATGGGGGAGTCTATCTTGAGCTATTTTGTAGTCCCTCGTTTTGGAGTTTTTATCCCTTGGCACTTTAAAGACTTCAGAGGAATCAATGAATACTTCCTATCATTCTGCCATCTACCAAGAAGCCAGCTTTGCCTTATTTTCAACAGAATGAGAACTATTTTTTCTCCATCTCACTATGTCTGTGAACTTGGTAACAATGGACTGGGCACCATGGAAGGAAGTGGAGAGAGAGCAAAGGTAGAGTGTAAGGTTCATGCTATAGCAGTTACATGTTGTTTTTCTCATGGATTTTAGGACATATTATGTAACCACGAGAACATATTTTTTTGTAGCCTCTGTAATTCCCTGGGACCATTCTTAAACGTGCTGTGAAAAAAATTGTAGCTTCCTTTCCCCACTTTTCTTTGTCTCAATGTAGGTTTTCACTGGCATTTTTGTAGCAGAAATGTGCCTAAAAATCATTGCGCTCGACCCCTACTACTACTTCCGCCGAGGCTGGAACGTTTTTGACTTCATTGTTGCTCTTCTGAGTTTTGCAGATGTGATGGCACAGAAAAATTTGCCAGTGTTCCGTTCCTTTCGAGTGGTAAGGCACTTCCTTTCTTATTCACGGAATAACTTAGCAATCAGGATTGAAAAGAGTCTTGAGTGAGTTCAGTGGCTATTTTGGATTCAACTTGAACTCATTTTACCTTAACCGGAGAAGCCAAAATGCAGTCCTCCTCCCACTCAGGTCCTTTGGGAGTCCCAGGGGGTCTTCTCTCAGCTGAATCCCTAGACTCCTCTCCACCCCACCAAGATGACTCTTTAGGCAACCAGATGCAAAGTGTGTCTTACGATGTCAGGACTCTGCTCTTTGCTTTGTGTATGACCACTCCGATGATCTCTTCCCCCACGGAGCTCTCTCTGACAGGCACCCTTACTTCAGTGTTCAGCAGTGGGGTTTAGACTCCAGAGCCCAGGATGGGGACGGGTGCTACCGGCAGGTGCTTTCCACAAGTCCCTCCTCTGGGCTGCCAGTGCCACATTCCACATGCCGTAACCATGGGAGGTATTCTGGCAACCTTTGCAGTGTACCCGATGTTAGCTGGCACAGGGAACGCTCAGAGAGGAGAAAAGCACTGTCTCCAAAGAGTTTGCAGTCCAGGGATGAAACAAGATACAGGTCCAGAAATGACCATGAGGCAAAGCAGAGTGTGACCAAGCCCACATGAGGTATGGATAGAAAGTTACAGAGAAATCTTATCTGAGGTGGCAATAGGGAGACCATGAAAAGTGGCCTTTTGTCCTCTTTCAAAGGTCAATTTGTCATGGATAGGATTTCTAAGTCTATAGAGTGAGACATATGATTCAGTTACCTAAGTAAGTGTACTTTTTATACTTAGGGTATGTCAGGAGAACATACCACTCAAAGTCAGGCATTATTAGGCTACTCTGCTAAAGTTTTATGGGTGTTCAGATGAGCAAAATTACATTCGTTTTCACTGTTTCATAGGCTTATTACAGTCATGAGCTTAGGTGAGGAACTCTGGTGTTGTCTACATATGAGACCTCCCAGCTCCACTCTGAGTAGATAGTGATGGTCTTTCTCTTGGGACATAATGCTTACTGCCCTGAAATATTTTCACCCCCAAATAGTTGATACTTAACAGGATTGTACTTTAGACTTAAACCATAGTTTGCATTGAAAGTGAACACAAGAAATAACCTATCAAACTAGTTGCTGTGTTTTCTCTAAGGTTATTGTCTCTATCATATCTGTAAGGTTTCATGGAGAAAACTTATCTTTGGAAAAAAGTGTATGTGTTGTGGGTAGCTGATTGCCTTTTCTTTTCTGGGTATAAAACATCATATGACATTCATCACTGTCATAAGGTTTAGATTCAGACTTGTGATCTGAATTATATAGGCAGGAGTTTGCAAACTTTTTCTGTAAAAGGCCAGAAGATGGTAAATATTTTCAGACTTACGGGTCACATTGTCACTGTGAAAACCATTCAGCTTTGTCATCATAACACAAATATAGTCGTAGAGGAGAACGAGTATGCATGGCTGAGTTCCAATAAAACCCTACAAACGTGGAAATTTGAACATCACACAGTTTTCATGTGTAATAAAATATCCTTCTCTTGATTATTTTTCAGCCATTTAAAATGTAAAAAAAAAAAAATGTTTTTACCTCTCAGGCCATACAAAAACAGATAATGGGATGGATTTGGCCCTCAGGTCTGAGTTGTTGACCTCTGATACATATTTTATATAATTAACATGCTTGCTCAAATCCATCATCATGACCCCAAAGTCTTCATCATTTAAAAATAATTAGAAAAAAATATTTTCATTTTTAAAACAAAAGGTACATACAAGTGAGTATTAGATTGGGATCTAGAGTTGGTGACAATGTTTAGTATGGATTTGGCTTTGAAAAGATTTTTTAAAAATCATAAATGCTGTGGTTTGGGAATATGTCATAGGTTTTGTGGCTGAACAGGTAGAATTTGTCCTTAACTGGCTTTTCTTTATTTTTTTGTTTATTGTCTGTTTCTTCAGCTGAGGATCTTCAAGTTAGCCAAATCTTGGCCAACTTTAAACACACTGATTAAGATCATAGGCCACTCGGTTGGAGCCCTTGGAAACCTGACTGTGGTCCTGGCCATTGTGGTCTTTATTTTCTCAGTAGTTGGTATGCAGCTCTTTGGCTCTAAATTTGGTTGTGAAAAGAAAATTTCAACATCCTATAACCATATAGACCAAAGTTCTCGACGCTGGCACATGGGGGATTTCTACCACTCCTTTCTGGTGGTATTCCGCATCCTCTGTGGGGAATGGATCGAAAACATGTGGGAATGTATGCAAGCAGCTAATTCATGCCTGTGCATTGTTGTCTTCCTATTGATCATGGTGATAGGAAAACTCGTGGTGAGTATCTTAGACTTTTAAAAATAAAAATACATGGATAAACAAATGCATTAGCTTCTTTTACAACATTTCACTTGTGAAATTCTTATTCTAAATATAATATTATGATGTTATATATAATATTAACAATTTGTGTTTGAATTTGGTTTGAGTCAAGTATGATAAACATGAAACAAAACCTCTTTGTCAAATAGTCTTGTGTTGACTGATGTCCCAATAGCTATTCTACTGCAGGTGATTATTCTAAGATAATCATATTCCCTATGACAGTGATTGGCTGGTAGGGGTTTGTGACTTAATTTGGTCAATAAGATGTAAAGGGATGTCCACTGAGCAAGGTTTCTTATTCTTAAAGAAGAAGAGAAAGGGACAAGGGGGAAAATGGTCCTTTTACCTCCTCAGGGCCATTTTATGACTGTGACTCTGGGTAGACTTGCAAGCATTATGCAACCATGAGAAGAACTAGCCTGAGACAAAGCCAGCACTGAGGAAGGTGGAGTGAAAAGGTGGAACAAACCTGTCTTCATGTCATAACTAGTTCCCTGTTTTATTTTCAAACTTCTGGTTGTATTATATATCCTTACTGTGTAAGCTGCCTTGAGTCTATTACTTGCAGCTGGAAACAGATATTTATGGAGAGGCTAATTAGGAGTCTACCGGTGAGGGTGTGAAGAGACACACAAGGAGAACAAGGTCTTCAGAATCAGGTTGGGGCTATGGTGCAAATATAATTAGGTCTCTGCACATGGTAGTTTTATCCTAAGAGTCTAATGAGAAGTGTAGATAGTAAGTGATACAGAAGTTCAGATTAGCAGGATACCACCAATGGGAGTGGGGAGGGAACATCTTGAAAGGGTTTGTGTAAGGTATGGTACTTGAGAATGGCACTTAAGAGGCAAGGAGGACTTAGCCTATGGAGGAGAGTTTGAGCAAAGATCCAGAGTTGGGAATTCTCATGGTGAAGCTGAAGAAGATCGACTGGACCTATTCACACCCACCAGACACTTCTCCCCAAGAGCTGTATATTTTTCAGCTGGTGAGGGCCACAAACAAAAGAGTTTAAGGAGGGAAAGATGATGAATTAGGGGTGTATAAATGTAAGCAAAATTTCTAAATAGGGATCTGTGGAGATGATCTGAATTTAAGGTGATATGTGCTTCAACAGAAGAGTTGTGCAGTAGATTTCATCTAACCCCTCTGGCTCAGCGCCAGCACCTCAGTGCAGTTTGGACAGTGGAACTTAGAGATCCTGCACGAAGTACACCGTCTCTCAAATCGTGCAAACAGGAGAGAGCCCCACAGCAGTCTCTGATGTCAGACCCATATCCCAGAGGGCAGTTCCAACATACGTCTGAACTCATGATTCTGGCTGATTCACAGGAATATACACTTATGATTATGCCACCTGGTCACAACATTCTGCTTTACCCTGGGCAGAGTCTGCACATGTGTGGGTTATATGTAGACAAGCTGGGTTTGGCTGTTTGTGCCCCTTAACATCAGTTTTTCTTTTGTCTTATCTTACTACTTTTAGTACTCCCCAACCTCCTCTCCTTTAATTTATTTTATAGATGAAATTTCTTGGGAGATAGAAGGACACAGAATTCTCATTTTATTTTGTTTTGGGTCTTGGGGAAAAGTTTTTCTGGAAACCTTCCTGTATCCTTTCCTTTGCTAAATTGCCCATTTTCCTTGTGCCCCCACCCCAACCCCTTGCCAGGTACTCAACCTCTTCATTGCCCTGCTGCTCAATTCCTTCAGCAATGAGGAGAGAGGTGGAAACTTGGAAGGAGAGTCCAGGAAAACCAAAGTCCAGTTAGCATTGGATCGTTTCCACCGGGCTTTTTGTTTTGTCATATCTACTCTTAAGCAATTTTGTCGCAAGCGGTGCAGGAGGCAAAACTTACCAAAGCAAAAAGGGGTGACTGAAGGCTCTTCTGCAGAGAGCAGAGATGCCATTCCCCTGGTCACAGAGATGAAAAAAGACCTAGAGACCTGGGAGGAGTCTGGTGTACTAACTGTTACACCAAAGCCCTTGAATGTCGGGCATGAAGGGATTTTGTTGGCCCCACTTGCAGAGGAAGAAGATGATATTCAATTTTCTGATGAAGAGAATGCACAGCCTGTCACACAGTCTGAGGCTGGAAAACAGGTATGAAGGTTCACATGTAGATTTCGAGATTGTACAGAGCTAGAGTTGCCATGGGGAACTGGTTGCACTATGCATGGATAATGAGGGTAGAATATGTGGTGGCTACCCTTCAATACCATCTGCACATCCCAGGGCTTGTCCTAATCATGGTCCTGTACATGTGGCACAGATGGGAAGTGTCAGAGTTCCAAGGCTGGGGTAATGGGGCAGTCAAGTGCCTTTGGTTGAGCCCTAAAATAATTTGGATTGGATAAAAGGTGAGGAAAGAGTGTGGAAAGTGAAGTGAATAGCATAGAAAAAGAGACAGTGGTAGGAACAAACTCAGTCTCTGCAGGGATCAATGGTGGGGCTCATGAGTGAGGAGTCATGGGAGATGAGGGCTGTCAATAACTATTACATGTATGTTGCACCTTTGTGGTTGCCCCATTGGTCTTGGGTATTCTCTTCTGGGTTTTTTCCTCCACATTTTTTCTCTTTGCTTTTCAGTTTTGGAGGTTTCTGTGGAGATATCCTCAAGCTCAACGATTCTTTCCTCAGCTATATTCAGTCTACTAATAAGCCCATCGATAGCATTCCTCATTTTTGTTTCAGTGTTTGTGAACTCTAGCACTTCTTTTTTATTCTTTCAGAATTTCCATTTCCTGTGTGTTTTCACATGCTGTCTACTTTATCCAGTACAGTCCTTAGCATTTTAATCATGTTGTTTTAAATTCCTGGTCTAATTAATTAGAACATCTTTGCCATACTGAGTCTGCTTCTGATGTCTGCTCTGTCTCTTTAAACTTTTAGTATGCTTTGTAATTTTTTCTTCATAGTTGAACATGATGAACATGATGAAACTGCTGTATATAGGCCTTTAGTTATGTGTTGGTGAGGTGTGTGTGTGTGTGTGGGGGGGAATGGAAGAGTTCTATCGGAGAAGAAAAGGGAGAGGGAAGAATTCACAAATATATGGAAATTAACCAAAACATTTTTAAATAACCAACAAGTCAAAGAAGAAGTCACAAAAATATTTAAAATACTTAAAGATAAATAGAAATGAAAATATAATATGCCAAAATTGTTGGATGCAGTTGGCTTCTCTCTCTTTTCTTCTCCCTCTTCTTCCTCTATGATTGGGTCTCAGTCTTTTAGTGAGCCTGTGCCTCTGGACTCTGAACTCCACAGTGCTTCTTAATACCCCCTTCCCTTAGGTGGGACAGAATGGCTAGAGTAAGCTGGAGTTGGGGATTTCCCTCCTTCCATGTGGAAATCTAGAGCTGGCTGAAATTGGGTATTTCCCTTCCCCCAGAACCTGATAACCCAGCATCTTGGGCTCTGGTTAACTAGTTTCTCTTAATGGCAGGTCTTGTTAGGTAGAACAGAATACTCTTGTATATTTCAAAATGACTTGTTTTACCTTCTCCCTGCCGAAAGCATGAAGGGATTTTTCTCCAGTATTCATTGTGAGAACCAGGTAGAGCTCCAAGAGGTAAAACTCATAAAAGTTTGGGATCCCCCTGAAGACTAGGTCCTATGGAACTTTTATCTTTTAGGCTTGTCCACACTTAGCCTCCAGTAATTTGTCAATTATAGTTCAGGTTTCCCTGCCCTGGCTTATGGAGGTGCTTATGGAGGTTTTTGCTCCTGGGTTTCTGATCTGTTAAGTTGTGATTATCTGTATCTCTCCAATTGGGGGGTGGGGGTGGGTGAATAGCATTTGCCCTGGACCTCACTTCTCTTATGGATCTAAAAAGAGTTGTTTATTTCCCAGTTTGTTCAGCTTTTTACTTCTTAGGATGGCTTGGAAACTTCTAGGTGTCTCACCTGTCAGATTAGAAACTGGAAGTCTTGATGGGAAGTTTCTAAATTATAAATTCAATCTCTTTACTTGTTATAGGGCTATTCAGATTTTCTATTTCTTCTGGAGTCCATTGTGGTAGATTTCTGTATTTCTAGAAATGTGTCTGTTTCATTAAATTTACCTAATTTGTTGACATACAATATTCGTGGTATTTCCTTATAATCCTTTTGATTTCTGTAAGGTTGATAGTAATTTTACCTCTTTCATTCCTAATTTCAGTAATTTGAGTCTTGTCACATTTTTATTTTGGTCAATCTTGTTAAAGTCTTTCAATTTTGTTAATCTTTAAAAATAAATTTTGGTTTTGTTGATTTCATCTAGTATTTTATTAATTTTTGCTCAACTACCTATCTTTTTTTCTGCTTGTTTTTAGTTTAGTTTTCTCTTCCTTTTCCAGTACCTTAAAGTGGAAGGTTAGGTTATTGATTTAGGATGTTTTCTTTTTAATTGTAGGTGTTTATAAATTTTACCTCTAAGCTTTATACCTCGAAGCTTTAGGTGCACCCAACAAATTTGGGCATATTTTTATTTCCATTTTTCTTAAAGTCTTTTCTAATATATCTATATCTACATCTATATCTATCTATCTATCTATCTATCTATCTATCTATCTATCTATCCATATATATTTCTTCTTAAATTCATTGGTTATTTAATATTTTTGTTTAATTTCCACATATTTGTGATTCTTCAAATGTATTTTTGTTATTAATTTCTAATTTTACTTCATTGTAATCAGAGAACATACTCTGCATAATTTAAATTTTTTAAAATTATTGAGGCTTGATTTATGGCCTAGCATACTGTCTGTCCTGAAAATGTGTCGTGTGCACTTGAGAAGAATGTATATTCTGCTTTTTGGGGTTGATGTTCTATAAATGTTTATTAGGTACAATTGATTTATAATGTTGTTCAAGTCTTCTATTTTCTTGTTGTTATATTCATTTTTGAAAATGGCTTATTGAGGTCTCCAACTATTATTATTGAATTATCTATCTCTCCCTTCAATTCTGTCAGTTTTTGCTTCATATATTTTGTGGCTTTTATGTTAGGTGTATATATCTTTATAAATGTTCTGTCTTCCTGATATTTTGATGCTTTTATCACAATAAAATATCCCTCCTTATCTCTATTAATTTTTTTGTTTTAAAGTCTATTTTGTATGATACAAATGTAGTCACTTCAGCTTTCTTATGGTTTCTGATTGCACAATATTTTTTTCATCTATTTATTTGCACACTATATGTATCTTTGAATTTTAAATGTTTCTTCTGTAGACAGTACATAGTTGGATCTTTTTCTTTTTTCTTTTTTTTATTCAGTCTGACAGTTTCTGCCTTTTGGTTAGATTGCTTAACCCATTCATATTTATTATTATTATTGATCTAGTTTATTTATTATGCTATTTTACTTTTTGTTTTTTATATGTCTCATGATGGCCTATGTTTTAGTATGTTGCCTTTAATGAAGAATAGCTACCAGTCTCTTCTTATTCATTTACCATCAAAATCTCCATTGTTTTTGAGAGTACCCTTAGGCTTGAACTTCCTCGCATTGTGTTTAAAATAAAATAATTTCTTTTATGGAATGCTTTATATCTCTTGCTTTTTATAGATTGCCTTCCACCTTGGGCAAAATCTTTTAGCTACTACCCCAGGTATTCAGAGGGGCAGTAGCCTGTCATCTTCTCAGCTTCCCTCTTTCTGCATGGAAACTTTCCCCTGAAACTAGCCAGAGGGAGAGTGACCAGGGCCTCAGTATTCTCAGGCTGTTTAACCTGGAATAGAGCCTCTAGCCCATGAACAGAGGCTAAATTGAAAAATAGAGTCCAGCATCTTGGCTCCATTCACTAGGAATTTAGCCTCTTCAACTCAGTGTTGGAGGGGATAAGATAAGCTGGTGACCTGCCCCTCCTGGTGACATGATATCCCTTCATTTGGAACTGAGAGCAGAAGGAGCCCCATCTTCTTGGCCACATCTACCTGAGTGGCCAAGGGGCTGGGGAGGGAGAGAGCAGGTCCATGGCTCAAATGCCATGGGCTCCTCTTGTTATTATTGAATTTCATAGATTTTCTTAAATAAATGTTTTTTCATTTGCTGATGCCCTTAGGACAATTTACAGAAACTTTTAATGATTTTTTTAAAACTACTTTTCACCATTTATGCTTATTTTTCTTGGGGGGCATGTCCAATAGACTTCTTTTCACTGATATGCAGGAAGTCAAACTCTCTTTATATTTTTTATTAAATTCTAAAATTTTTTAGATACTTTCAGATTATTATATAACCTTTGTTTTTTTCTTGAGTAACTTCACCTCCCAGTAGTTAATTTGTGGGAGGGGAGTGGTTACTATTTTATGTTTGTCTTATATATTTTGGAGTGTTAGTTTGAAGACTCATCTTTGGTGGGAAGATTCGTCACTCTTTTGCATTCTAAGTTCTGTGATGCCTTCAGTGGACCCTTCTAAGTTTTCCATTTCAGAATCCAGTTTTATATTGCTGAGTTGGGATTATTATCAAATAGTGATACTAAACAGCTTACAGATCCAGTCACTGAATAAGTGGGTACCTTTACTCAGGTCCTATTTCTGAGGCTCTTTTTCCTCCTACCTTCCTAGGTATGCAGCTTTGTATAATCATAATTCCAAGCATTGGCCACAGCTTATTTTGGCTTTCTCTAAGTGCGAGAACTTCAACCCAGCCCATAGTTTCAAACCTTGGACATAGCTGTGGTTCCCTTCTTCACGTGGGCACTTTTAGCCACCATGACCTACTATGTGCTTTAAATGGTCATATTTTGTGTTTCTGTTCTATGTCTGGTCCATAGGTATATTTACCTGCGTTTTGTGTGTGTGTGCGTGTGTGTGTGTGTGTCTGTATGTGTTATTGCATGTGTTCAAAAGGGAGAAGCATTCTTAAATCATGACCTCACAGTGTCAGATTCACAGGAACCCTCACATAGATTTTTGGGTAAAACCTTCACCTAAAGTGTGCACATATCCCTGCAAGTCATCAGATTTTTTAATATATTTTAAAAATTTATTTTTATTTTTATGTAGTGATGCATTTCCATATTTTCTTTTATGCCTTTTGGTTTTTTATTTTGCTAAGCCAATCTTTTGTACACCAAAGTATAAAAAAATTATTTTCCAAATTTTTCTTCTAACATTTTTATTCATCTATTTTTACATCAAATTATGAATTTTTACTGTATTCTGGTATTGTGTTAATTTTTCAGGGGTAGCTAATTATACCAGTACTATTTATTAAATAATTTATTATGTAGCTACCGAATTTACAGGATACAATAAATTTTATCCCTGAATGTTTTTGGTGAATTTTTGGATGAATTTTGTGCCAGAACCATATGATTATGATTATATAACTTCTGAGTAAGTTTTATCTGTTTTCTATAGTAGTTGATCCAGATTTGTTTTGAGTTTTTCCAGTTTTAAAAACTAAAAAGAAAAAGAATAATAATGTCTTGTTTTCATAACAAATAGAAAACCAAAGAGAATTCCAACTGGTTTCTTATCAAGCAGTATTTCCAGGAGGAATATTAATTCTACTCTGGGCTTCTCTGTGTCAGGCCTGTGAACTCCCTCAGGAGGCCAAGTCCACCATCCCAACACAAAATGTGGAAATTGAGGTGTCCTCTGAAGATGATGCTTATCTGTCAGTACAGAATCCCCGAAAGGTAATTTTCCCAGGGTGTTCCCAGATGGAACTTGGGACATGATCACCCATACACCTTCTCTAACAGAACTAGTATGGAAAATAGCAAGATTAGTGCAGAGAGCCCTGGCCGGTTTGGCTCAGCGGTTAGAGCGTTGGCCTGCGGTCCTGAAAGACCCGGGTTCGGTTCCCGCTGAGGGCGCGTACTTCGGTTGCAGTTTGTCCCCGGCCCTGGTCGGTTGTGCGGGTGGCAGCCACTTGATGTGTCCCTTTCACGTCGATGTTTCTCTCTCTCTCTCTGTTCCTCTCTCTCCCTCCCACTCTACCTGAGCAAAAAATGGAAAAATGTCCTCGGGTGAGGATAAAAAAAAAAAAAAAAAAAAAAGATTAGTGCAGAGAAAACTTTTAGAACCACATCTTACGCAGTGGTCTATACCAAAGTTTTCTAACCTCTCTGCTGTGACTTTTTATATATATATATATTTTTCAGATAGAGTGGGAGGGAGAGAGAGAGAGAGAAAGGGACACTCCGAGTGGCTGCCACCCACACGACCCAACCAGGGCCGTGGACAAACCACAACCAAGGTACATGCCCCTAGCGGGAACTGAACCTGGGTCTCTTCAGACCGCAGGCCGATGCTCTAACCGCTGAGCCAAACTGGCCAGGGCTCTGCTATGACTTTTTGGGGCAGGATAATTCTTTGTGGTGGTGGGCTGTTCTGCGTGTATTAGGATGTTTAACAGCATCCTTGGCCTCTTCCCATTAGACTACAGTAGCATTCCCCAGTTTTGAAAATAAAAAATGTCTCTAGACATTGCCAGAATGTCTCGGAGGGTAAAATCATTGAGATCCACTGATGTAGGCCTAATATTTCAGGAGTTGAGATAGCTGAATACTATAGTCTCAGTAAAGTACCCTTCTCCTCATCACCTGGTTTTCCTATTTGTGGTTAGGCTGTGATCAGGGGTATGATTTGAAGGGAGGAAAAGGCTGAGATACTATGTCTTTATACTTTCCCTTTCCTCCACCAGGGGAGAGCAGTTAGAAGTCAGGGCTGGTCAGAGCTTTTAGAAAAGGACCCAACAAGAGGGACACTTTCTTGATGCCCCTCATACCCAGAAGCCTTTGCCTGGTTAGTTTCATACCTAAAAAGTCATACTTTTTATCAAGTATTAGTTACTTCCATGGTGAGAGAGGGTGCTGATAAATTATTCTCCCTTTGTTCGATGTGCAGAAGTCTGATGCTATCAGTGTGCTCTCGGAATGCAGCACCATTGATCTGCCAGATCCCTTTAAGCGGGTACCTGAAATGGTTCCCCAGAAGGAACCAGAGAGATGTTTTCCCAAAGGTAAGTGGCAGTACTCCTGCATCCAATTCACAGAATATTTGGGTGGGATTCTGTTATTCTTTGAAGCTCTATGGTTTTGATATATGCCTTCTTTCTACTTCTACTGGAGACAAAAGTAAAGAGAGGTCAGCCATGGGTTCTTGGGGTCATTATCAGGTTGAGGCAAAGGGGAATTCAAGATATTCTTGATTTGGGTAGGCTCAGCTTACAGAGACTAACAACTGGGTAGAAACTCCAGAAAACTTTTCTAGAAAGCCCGCTGAGCCAATACGTCTGCCACTTTGCATAGTCCCCAGTATATGGATTGTCCGGATATACTCAAGTTATAGACCAAGAGAACATGATTATAAGTTTAGGGTTGACTAGAACCTCTGCCAGGCCTCCGCTTGGGCCTCGAGATTCTTTTCTGGAAACAGGATATAGCATTGTAGTTAAAAGCTTCACCTCTGGAGCCAGACTTGCCTGAGCGCAAATTCTGGCCTCTCCATTTACTAGCTTGTAACTTGTTTAATTTCATTAATCTCTCTGTGCCTCATTTATAAAATGGGTTTAATAATAGTACCTGCTGCAAGGGGTTGTTGTGGGTATGAAATGAACAAATGTAAATCACTTAGAAGAGTGTCCGGCACATAATAAGTAAATGCAGCACTTCTTGGTTCCTCTAGTGGATGTAGCGGTTCCTTCCTATGAGCTTTCGTTATCTCCTGTTTATTGAAGGGAATTTATTTGTGTCTGTCTCCCCTACAAGGTTCTTAAAAACAAAAGCAGTAACTTAATCAATATTGTATCTCTACTATGATTAGATTTAATCTGGTCCAGATTAAAATAAATAACGTAACAAGTGAATAAATGAATTTAAAAATTAAAAATTTCTCCATAAGTTTGAGACTAGACTAGGTTCAGAAGGAACACTAAGAGTGGGTTTTAAGCTCTGGCCAGTTTGGCTCAGCGGTTAGAGTGTCGGCCTGCAGTCCCGAGAGACCCAGATTCGGTTCCCACGAAGGGCACGCACCTCGGTTGCAGTTTGTCCTCGGCCCTGGTTGGGTCGTGCAGGTGGCAACCACTCGATGTGTCCCTTTCGCATCGATGTGTGTGTGTCTCTCTCTCCCTCCTACTTTATCTGAACAAAAATGGGAAGGTGTCCTCGGGTGAGGATTGAAAAAAAAAAAGAATGGGTTTTAAACTCATTCCAGGTTGTTAGACAGCTCTAAAGTCACTCATAGGGTCAGAGGTCAGGCTAGGGATAGATTACTATTCTCTTGGCTTACATTTGGACTGGTCCTTGAGGTGTGCACAGTTGTCAGCAGTGGAGGTGGAGGTGAAAGGAAGAGAGACAGGTATTCTAGAGGAAGGGAAGAGTGGGATAAGAGAAGCAGACTTTTAGGAAAAGTAATTTATTGATGTTTTGAAAGACGGAGGGAGATAAGGGACAGACTGAGGAGACCTCACAGTGATTTAGGAAGATGATGAGAAAAGGAGTGGAATGTTGTAATCACCATGAAATAAGCATCCACTGAATTTAGGAGAGGAGGAAACAAGGTGAAAAGGGTGATATGATTCATGCTGAAGACTTGTGTGTGTTGGAACCAAATGCTCAGGTATTTGTAAGTATTTTGACAATTGATCAAACTCTTCCATGGGGGGTTGACAAAGCCTGTGTCCATCCCTGCCCCATTCCTTACAGTCCTTAGGACACTGTTTACTATTATGAAAAACATTGCTGCATAACAAACAACCACAAAACCTTAGTAGCATACAGTAATAAACATGATTCAGCTCATGCAGTTTGGTTGTCTCTGCTGATCTTGGCTGGCTTTATTCATGTAAGTGGTGCTGACTGGAGTCAGCTGATTTAGCCTGGGTTTAATGTGCAGCTTGGCTTCATGCAACATGTCTATCCTCCTCCTGGAACCAGTGAGCTGGCCTGAATATACCTTTCTTATGGAGATGGTGCAGGAGAGCAGGGGGAAACATGCAAGTCTTCTTAAGGTCTAGGCTCAGAACTGGCTCACTCTGCTCTATTGACCACATCAAGTCACATAGCTAAGCCCAGATTCAAAGGGTTGGAAAAAGACTCCACCTATTTAGTGGGAGGAATTGCAAAATCACATAGCAAGGGGGGCACGTGTATAGGGAGGGGTGAAGAGCTGGGCTAGGAATGCACTTTACTACAGACACTAACGACAGTGCTACTGCTCGCTCCTTGCAGGCCTGTGTTGCTGCTTCCCATGCTGCGCTGTGAACAAGAGAAAGTCCCCCTGGATCACTTGGTGGAACTTGCGGAAAACCTGCTACCAAATGGTGAAACACAGCTGGTTTGAGAGCTTTATTATCTTTGTGATTCTGCTGAGCAGTGGGGCATTGGTAAATTATCTTATCTTGTGGGGATATTGGGGAGCAAGGCAGCTGGGGGAGCTGCATTCTGACTTCACCCCTCATGGGGTTGTGAATGTGGGGAGCATAGCAGAAGTGCTGGTTCCCCTTGGTGGTAGGATTTTGCATAACAAATTCTGGAGTCAAGCTCAAAGTGGGAAATCCCCAAGCCAAGAGCACTTTACCTATAGGGAAGCAGGACCCAAACCAGCACAGTAAGATGGTTCCTGAAGTCTGGCCCTAGACCCCAGGTCTGTATATTATTCTCGAAGGATTTCTAGACATTTTCACTGTATGCTAACTGTTTCCTCCTTTAGACAGCAGTGCTCCTACCCTCTCTTTTCCCGAAGACCATAATGTTGCTTTCTAAAAGGTAAAATGTTACGAGAAGACTACAGGGACCAGGTTAGGATATAATAAATTGCCTTGGTGTTTTCCATCACTTATAATCCCTTGAGAGGGGAGACAGAGAGCTACTGCTTTGTGTGCACACCTTCCAGACGAGGTGTGGTGTGTCCCAGTCAGGTCTTGAAAACACTGAATCCATCAGCCTCCATAGCCATATAGTCATAAACTCCTGCCTGCCTTCTCTCCTCACCTTTTAGTCCTTTTGCCCCCACTTCACCTCCCCTTTGCTCCTATCACCTCTCTTGCTCTTTCTGTCTCTCTCTCTCCTTCTATCTTGTGTCTCCAAATGATGTAATATAGAACTAAATTTTCTTACTATATGATATGTCAAGTGAATGGAGCCTTGGGTTCCTCCTTTTGGATTTAGAGTCACAAATATTTTGCAGTAAGCTGCTAGCAAATTGAAGAGGACAAGGAAACATCTGGCTTCTTTACTCCTGCCTTTCTGGTTAGAGCTTTTCACCTGTGGGATCTCCAGGTGGAAGGAGATGAGCACATACTGGGGCCTATCAGAAGCTATTACCAACAGACATCCTCATTCAACTACTTAGTGCAATGTAAATTATTCCTTAAACAAAAAAACAGATCTCTCTAAAACTATCCAAGAGAACATCCATGGTTAATTTATTTTCTACCACTTACACATTGAAACTCCTTTTTAAAAAATTTATCTTTATTGTTGAAAGTATTACAAGTGTCCCTCCTTTTCCCCCCGTTGACACCCTCTCTCCCCATTCCTGCCCCTTCCCCCACCTTCACTGCACTATTGTCTGTGTCCATGGGTTATGCTTATATGTATATCAGTTCTTTGATTTATCTCTTCCTGCCTCTCCACCCTCTTCCCTCTGAGGTTTGTCAGTCTATTCCCTACTTCCATGTCTCTGGCTCTATCTTGTTCACCAGCTTATTTTGTTCATTGTATTCCACAAATAAGTGAGATCATGTGATACTTGTCTTTCTCCGACTGGCTTATTTCACTTACCATAATACTCCCCAGGTCCCTTCATGTCATCTCAAAGGGTAAGAGATCTTTCTTTCCTGTAGCTGCATAGTATTCCATTATATAAATGTACCACAGCATTTTTATTGATTCATCTACTGCTGGGCACTTGGCTTGTTTCCAGATCTTAGCTATTGTAAATAGTGCCACTGTGAACATAAGGGTGCATAAATTCCATGATTAATTTTTTTTTTTTTTTTATTCTCACCCGAGGACATTTTTCCATTTTTTGTTCAGGTAGAGTGGGAGGGTGAGAGAGGAACAGAGAGAGAGAGAGAAACATCGATGTGAAAGGAACACATCGAGTGGCTGCCACCCGCACAACCGACCAGGGCTGGGGACAAACTGCAACCGAGGTACATGCCCTTAGCGGGAACCGAACCCGGGTCTCTCAGGACCGCAGGCCGACGCTCTAACCGCTGAACCAAACCGGCCAGAGCTCCATGATTAATTTTTATTGGTAGTCCTTGGACTTCGGTTTTCTGTAGTCTTCTTGTGATTACAATCTCACTGGCTGTCTACTCTTATTCAAGTGGTAGGGGGTTTTCATTTACTCCACAAATGGTACTAGCCCGGTGCTAGTCAGTGGGAAAGCAGTGGTGTTGTCAAAAGGCCATGGACACATGCCCCATGGCACCATACGAGAAAACTTATAATCAGAGAAGTAGCAGAGGGAACACAGTCCTCCTATTTCTCATCTTCCTTCAGCTGAGTTAAGTGTAGGCTGGGCAGATCTAGACTGAACACACAATGCAGAGGGTTCCAGGAGAGGGACCCAGGCCCGGTTTCACTATACATATTTGTAGAGAAATAGAGAAAAGAAACATCTCGTTGATTGCCAATGTCTACAATGTATGGACCAGCAGCCTTATTTACCACATGGAAGCTTGTTAAAAATGCAGAGTCTTGCCCTGGCTGGTGTGGCTCAGCGGTCAGAGCATCAGCCTGCAGGACAAAGGGTCTCCAGTTCAATTCTCGGTTAAAGGCATTTGCCTGGGATTTTAGGTTCGATCCTGGCCAGTTGCGGTCATGCAGGAGGCAACCAATCGATATCTCTCTCTCTCTCTGTCTCTCTCCCCTCCTCCCTCCCTCTTTTTCTACCCTCCCTTCCACTCTATCTAAAATTCAATGGAAAAATAGCCTTTGGTGAGGATTAATAAAAACAAACTAAAAAAGCAGAGTCTTGCTCTGCTGGTGTGGCTCAGTGGATTGAGCATTATACCGTAGACTGAGAGGTCCTGGTTTGATTCCTGGTTGGGGTGCGTGCCCAGGTTGTGGGCTCAATCCCCAGTGGGGGGCATGCCGATCGATCGATGTTTCTCACATCAATGTTCCTAGTTCTCTCCCTTCCTCTCTCTCTCTAAAAAAATGTTTTTTGTTTTGTTTTTTTTTTGGAGAGAGAGATAGAAACATCAGTGTGAGAGAGAAACATTGATTGGCCATCTCCTGCACACCCCCCACTGGGGATGGAACCTGCAACCCGGGCATGTGCCCTGACCAGAAATCGAACTGGGACCTCTCAGTCCGCAGGACAACACTCAGTCCACTGAGCCACACCAGCTGGGCAATAAAAACTTTTTTTTTTTAAAGCAGAGTCTTGAGCTCACCCCAGACCTGACCCCAGGCCTGCTAAATGATAACCTAAGTGATTTGGGGCTCACTAGAGTTTGAGAAGCTCTGGTTTGGAAACTATGTAATAAGGGGAGCTCCTGGGTTAGTAATGGCCTCATCATAATGTGAGGGCCTCCAAAGAGCAGCTGCTGATTATCAGCTTGCCCTCTTTGCACTAACTCAACCCTGCTTAGCCAGCTTGTTGCCAAGCTTCCAAATGAGAAAGAAAATGAGCTTCCAATGCCATTCAGATTTGTCTCTCTGCAAGAGGCAAACACATGGACAAGTCCCTGACTTCTAGGAGCTTAGAGTTCAGTAGAAAAGACAGATGGTGTCCGGCCATTATAGACCAGGACCATAGTGATACACTCAGAGAAGCAGTGGGTGACATGGGGCCATGTAGGGTGGCAGTTAACCCAGTCTCAGTGGAAGAAGGATAGTTTCCTATAGAAAAGCTCAGCTAATCTGAGATCTCAGGGCTGACAAGGAGCTGATGAGGCAGAGGCAGAAGCAGAGATGGAGGCCCTTCTCTATTCAAGCCTACTTAGGAGCTGGAAGTGAGACTTCCTCTTCTGCATTCTTTCCCCCAGGCCATGGCGCTGTGGGAATACCTAAATCCCCAACAGCAGGGCTGCTTTCTTTTCTCACCTTCTGTGTTTGCCCAAATGTCCTGGCAGGGTTAGTGTCAGGCCCCTTCTCTCCTTCTTTTCATCCTCAGTAGCTCTGCAAAGCCCCAAAGGACAGTGTATCCTTGTTCTACAGACCCCGAAGAAGCACACGCACACTTTGGGTGAAGGAAATGTTTGTATGTAGCATGAACAAGGGTCTCTCTGAAAGCTAGGATGTCTCGCTTTCATAGTCACACTTAATGAATGTTTAATATTCAAAGTAGTTTACACTGGGAGCTCTAGCCCATAGCTTCTTGAACTTTTGCATGTCGTGGTGCACATACAAAATGATCATGGGTAGGGAAAACTGGGGCACATACATAGTGCTATTTGTGGTAAGAGATGATGGGCCTCAGGGTAGGCCAGATCTCAAATGTGCACTAAAGAGTTTGGATTTGATGTTATAAGTAACAGAGAGCCACTGAACAGAGCCACTAAGGTAACTAGGAGGATAAAAGAGATGGTGTGTGTGCCACTGGGGGGTTCTAGAAAAGGTGGCAGGATATTGTTGGCAAGAGTTGAAAGAGTAAGTAAGATCAGGAAAAGGGGTGGTGATTTGTTAGAAAGATATATGTATATTCCAGGGACCAGTGAAGAGCGCCTGGGGAGCATGTTGGTGACAGAACTCTAGAAATAGGGTTGTTTTTCTTCCAGTTTTACTTGAGGAATTGGTTCCATTGGAAAAATTCAGCCTTAATACATGTTGAGCAAAACTTCATCACCAAGAGAAATACTAATTTGTTTAAATAATGAAGGAACATAAAAAGCAAAGTCAGCAAGGAGATCTGTGCAAATACTCAACTTGGCCTATGACTGTGTTTTATCATTTCAGATATTTGAAGATATTAACCTTCCTAAAAGACCCAATGTCCAAGCATTACTTAATTGTACTGACCATATTTTCACATACATTTTTATCCTGGAGATGGGTCTGAAATGGGTGGCCTTTGGCTTTCCGAAGTATTTCACCAGTGTCTGGTGCTGGCTTGATTTCGTCATTGTGATTGTAAGTTTACCGTCTCAGTGTCCACGCGGGCATGAGTAGGAGATGGGCGTTGGGGAGGGTATCATATGGGAGGTGCTTTTTCTCTGTGCCTTTCCACAACAGCTTTCTTCACAGAACTTGTAAGTCATTGCCATTTGTCTATCAGCAGTCCTGCCTTTCCAGGTCCCATTCCTCAGACACTGCACTTCACATGCTCAGCACCCCAACCGGACCCATGACGGCAGTCATCCACTTCAGTCCATCAACACTGCTATGGCTGATGTATACCTGGAATAGCATTGAGTATCCTCAATTTTCTCTTTCCTTGCAACTTCTCATTTCTTTTCAAGACTTCTCAAAGCAGGTCAGCATCCAATAGACAAGGCTGGTCTCCATCTTGATTGCTAAGCAACAGAAGAAGCTTATTCACATATGCTCCTTCATTTAATCTGCACAACAGTGCTCTGAATTAAGCCAAGTAATACATCACTAGTTACAGACAAGTAAACCTGAAGCTCAGGATCGGCAGCTTGTTTCAGGGGGAACTGGGATTCCCACCTCGGTCTGTGTTATGCTGAGGCCAATAACACGACGGGTGGATCACATTTTCTGAGTGCTCTCTCTGTGCCAGGCACTCTCTCTGTGCCAGGCATGCTGCCGTGAGCTTCGCATGTACTCTCTCTTTTATTTATTTAAAAAAATTTTTTTTATTGATTTTAGAGAGAGAGGAAGGGAGAGGGAGAGATAGAAACATTGATGAGAGAGAACATTGATTTTCTGCCTCCTGCATGCCCCCCATTGGGGATTGGGCCCACAACCTGGGCATGTGCCCTGACCAGGAATTGAACCGGCGACCTTTTGGTGCATGGGTGGACACTCAACCACTGAGCCACATGGGCCGGGCTGCACTCTCTCTTTTAGCTACCACAGCCACGCAGGGTCATAGGGGCACTATTATTTTTCCCACATTCATACGAAGAGACTGAGTTATTTTGCCTAGACAGAAGTGGTAAAGGTGAGACTCAAACCTAGAAGTCTCACTTAAAAGCCCTTGATTTTAATATTCATATTTCTTTGACCGTGAGCTAATTGGTTCGATTTCGTCCATGCTGTTTGAAGAAGTAGATATGACAAATGCGTGAGCATGAGCTGTGGAGTCAGCATCCCCCCACTGGAGAACCATAATGCTGTGGGTGGACACAGCAGGTCACATAGTTCAGGCATTTCAGAAAGGCCTCAGTGTCAGCAGACCTCACGCAGGAGCTTCCACATGTTCGTCATGTCGATCTTGGTCAGCGTCCAGAGCACAGATCTGCACCCATCATCTTACCAGACCGTAGTGAAGAATCCGTAAGACAGTGGGCAGATTACTTGTGTCTCCATTCTAGGGAGCAGGGTTTACTGGCCTAAACTTAGAAGACTGGTCCTACAGCTACCTGTCCGCTTTCTTTCTGTATAACCTTGAGCAAAATGCTTAAGGTTTTGACATAAGTTTTCAAGTGGATAAAAATGAGTGTGGACTATAAATTGCCCAAATTTGACCAGATGCAAAATGGAAAACATAAATCTAACAATAATCACTTAAAATATCAAAACAGTAATCTAATGTCACACTGTTTAAAAAAAAAAAAAAAAAAAAAGGGCACCAGGCTCAGGCTCAGATGGTTTTACAAACTAGTTTTACCAAACTTCCAAGGAGCAGTGCTATAGACTGAATGTTTACCCCCCACCCCCACCCACCATATGTTGAAGTTGAATCCCCAGTGTGTTGGTATTTGGAGCTGATTAGGACATGAGGGCAGAGCCCTCACAAATGGGGTTGGTGATCTTATCAAAGAGACCCTACAGAACGTCCTCACAGTGAGGATGAAGGAGAAGACACAGTGAGAAGACCAAGACAACCGCTGTGAACCAGGAAGGTGGCCCTCAAGCAGACTCTGACTGCCAGTGTCTGACCTTGGCTCTCCCGGCCTCTCGACTGTGAGAAGTAAAGTTCTGTTATTTATAAGCCACCCAGGCTAAGGTATTCTGTCATAGCAGCCTGAACTGACTAAGATGAGCAGTTAACCCCAACCTTATTCAAATTGTTACCAAAAAATAGAAAAAGAGGGGAGGCTTGAAAAGTTATTTAATGAGATAAGCATAACCTGATAACAAAATGAATGAAATAAAAATAAGTAGAATAAGAAAAGAAATAACCTTATAATATAGATCTTCATAAATCCCAGAGAAAGCACACAATAAGTGTGGTCCACTATTGCTCTCATATTAGCCTTAGCATCAGACAGACCAAGGTCTGATTCCCAATTCCACCTGAAACAAGTTGCTGAGCCTCTGATTTCAGGTTTCCTTGTCTGTACCGTGATAGGTGACATAATGCTGCTTAATCCAGAACAGGAGTGTGCAAATTAAGTGAGAGAAAGTGAGTGAATAATCCTTTGATGTTGCTTGTGAATCAAGATTATCCAAAATAATTTTGAAGTAGAAAACTGCAACACAACTATACACATACCATATATATATATCAAAATGAAAAGCTTTTGTTTTTCTATTCAACAATACCATAATTATAGTTAAAGACAGGCCAGAGCCTGGAGACAGTTTTTGCTTCATACATAACAGATAATTATTATCCACAGTGTATAAAAACCCCTACAGCTCAACAACAGCAAGACAACCTGGTGTAAGAATGGAAGAAGGATGCAACCAGGCAATCACAGAAATGGAAGTTGAATTACTAACAAATGTGTGAAGAAACACGTACTTGTTCTAGCACCTGGTAGCACCGAAGAGCATTGAGAGACTGCTTTATATTCATCAGATTGACAAACATTTTCAAGTTGAATAATTAATACTGAGAAAGGTATAGGAAAATGGAATCTCAAATCACTGCTAACAATTTAATTGGTTTCAGTCATTGGGGGAGGGGGAGTGTTGCTTATTTATAATTAAGTAAAATACAAATGAATAAGTTGCAGTTCAGAAATACCACTTCTAGTTATACATCTAAGGAAAACAGTGTATATACCCAGGTGCACACATCTGTTCAGTTTGCTGTTGTTCATAATAGCAAAGAAATGGAAGTGACCTAGATCTTCACCAAGGGGAATGGATTTATAAAATCTTCCACAGAAGTCAAAAGAAGCCAACTGTAAGAATACATATCAACATGATGAATTTCAAAAATATAATGCAGAGTGATAAATGCAAATTAGGTAGAAAAAAAATAAGGTGAAACTAGCAGAAGATTTTCACCCTGAAGAACACCACAGAAAGAACGGGGATGTTTTCTGTGTGCGTGTGTCATCAGTGTCTCCCAATCTGGTAGAACAGAGGTTCCAGGTGAAAAGGCATACAATGTCCCTCTAGGGACACTTTCTCCCCCAGTGATGACAGTCATTTGGCACAGCCAAAGAGCTGCTAAGTTTTGCCATTCTTTCTCTTTGGCTAGGAACCAGGTAGAAGTATTTGGGGAAAAACTGCTTAAGTAACTCTCCCAACAAGCAATGCTGTTACAAACAAAAGAACAAGTGACAAGCCTGTTAAACAAACACACACACACTATAAACAAAAACAATTTGAATTGATGGTGATTTTTTAAAAAATGGATTACAGATCTTAAAATCTGGTTACTCTGTTATATTAACTCAATATCTCTTAATTTGCAAATATTTTACTACTACAGTGACATTGGCAGGGTTAGTGGGTGTGTTTTAGCTGATGGTGAACGTTGCATCCATTTGTCAGGAGCCTTGTGATTTACTTCCTCACTTGCTGAGCGGCTGGCTTCCCAGTGAAGCCTCGGAAGGCTCCGCACAGCCAGTAAGGACGGCTGGAGATCGGTATGGAGTCTCTTCAACTTAAACTCAGCGTATCTCTGAAGTCTGCATTGAGTCCATTCAAAGAGCTTTCTGATCCTTAGTCCTGTACTGTTAGAAAAGCAAATTGGATTTAATTCCCCAAAAAGGAGTTATGTGAGTGAGGGGAAATATTATCAAACAAATAACGTATTATTTCTTTGTAACTTTTTAGTTAGATATTATTACAAACTGACAGAAAAGTTGCAAGAACTAGTATAAAGAATCCCTTCTTCTCTTTCCCCAGATTCACCGACTATTGACATTTTACCCCATCTGCTTTGTCATTTTCTCTTATTTTTTTCCTAAACTGCTTGAGATCAAGTTGCAGGCACCACACGCCTTTACCCCTCAACATTTTAGTGTGTGTTTCTAAGAACAAGGATACTGTCTCACATAGTCACCGTACAATTATGATAGTTAGAAAATTTAACATGATCCAATAATAAAACACCCATTTTCAAATTTTGCCAATTGTTACAACAAAGTCCGTTATAGCTAATTTTCTCTACCCACCCATCACCATCTTCCCCCTGCCACAATAGCCCATGCCAATCCAGTATCCAGTCGAGGACCCGACATGACATATTATTGACATGTCTCTGGTTTTCTTGAATTCACAACAGTTCCGCAGCCTTTCTTTGTCTTTCATCAAACAAATGATGTGAATGCATCGTTCTCACATGCATGGACTCTAACTTTGCCAGACAAAGAGAAAAGCCTCTCCATCTGTCCTCCCCTCCCCAGCAGTGTTTGTGTCTGGATAATCCACCTTGCCTCTCAGAATGAGGGCTCTCAACCCCACGTTGGCTTCTCTGGGCATCCAGTCAGGGGCACTACCTGTGGCTTCTCTTCCCACCAGGTGTCTGTGACCACTCTCATTGAATTAAAGAGCTTGAAATCCTTCCGGACTCTGCGAGCGCTGAGGCCCCTGCGAGCTCTGTCCCAGTTCGAAGGAATGAAGGTACGTCCTTCCGGTGCACGGAGGCACATTCTTCAGCCAGCAGGGGCGGATGGAGCTTTTCTCCCTGGGCTGAGTGGGCTTCCCTTAAACTGCCAAGCTTTCCCTGGACTCCTTCCTATCCAGCCCCCTGCTTAGAATTTGAGAAATGGAGAAAAGCCTAAGATAAAGTCACCATCCTAAAAGAGTTTCTGTGACAGCTGACATGGACTTTGGCTTCCCTTCAATCCTAAGGCAAGTGTCCCATGTCTGTAACACCATCATCAGAGGACACTTCTCAAGAGGTCCTCAGGGCAACAGAAAGGACTCATTACCTATGGGGCTGAGAGCAGGGCTTGTCATGGGGCGGGGGAGGGGGGGCAAGTAAAGATGGAGCTGTAAGGGATCCAGCCCTCCACATCAAGCCCATCCTGGAACCACCCGAAGCTTGAAGAGTCTCACACATCTATTATGTTTTTCTTCTTCTTTTTTTTTAAGGTGGTAGTTAATGCTCTCATAGGTGCCATACCTGCCATTCTGAATGTGTTGCTTGTCTGCCTCATTTTCTGGCTTATATTTTGTATCCTGGGAGTAAACTTGTTTTCTGGAAGATTTGGAAAATGCATCACTACTGATACAACAAATAATGTGATAGAAGTGTTAAATGCCACCTTCATTGTAAACCACAGTCACTGTGTGAGTGAAAATCTCACCTGGGACAACCTGAAAGTGAACTTCGACAATGTGGGAATGGCTTACCTCGCCCTGCTGCAGGTGGTAGGTGTGACCGGCATGCTCCCACTCTTAGGGCAGTGCTCAGTTATTTCTCAACTAATAGAATGCAGCGATTCCCTTGAGATAATGAAATCAAATCCAAGCTTCTCATGGGGGAGCCAGTGTCCTCTGGAATTACTTTCCACTAAGCATCTCCAACTTTATTGTCTACTGAGCCTCAACCTTCAAGTGATGCCCCTGTAAGGGTCCATCCATCTCACCCTGCCATGTGTGGCTCCTTGCTCTTCAGAGCTCCAGGCAGAGAGGAGAGGAGCCGCAGAGGCCCAGCCCTACCATTAGTAACAGTTCCCTGTTGTAAGTCAGTCCCAGGTCGAACACAGTTGCCAGGTTTCGGACAGACAGTTCAGACAGGTGTGGCATAGGAAGAAGCCTGTTTAAGGCTCTTTCCAGCACTTGGCCCATAGCTTCTCTAACAATTTCTAAGGTAGAAATTTCTTTTATTTTTAAACTTTTTTGCAAATCAAGAAGAAGAAAAAAATCCAAGACACCCATCCTTGAATTCCCTTCTACTGTTCTTTTATTTGGACATTCTGTTCAGGAAGGATGAGGCCTCACCTTACATACATCTGCCCACTGGCCTTGCTTTCTTTTGCATGGCACCTATCTGTTGATGTCAAGTCTATAATTGTGTTTATGTTTATCTAATTTTTCTTGCAGGCAACATTTAAGGGCTGGACAGATATTATGTATGCAGCTGTTGATTCCAGGGGGGTGAGTTTGTGTTCCCCCATGTTCCAGAGTGCTGGGGTCAAATCAGGGATACTATTACTACATCTTCACATGCTCCAAAGTCCAGTCCTCCTATAGTGGCCAAGGAGAAACCATCCATGTAGGAGATGAAGCCAGAAACAACAACAGAATCACAGGATGCCTTGATTTTTTTTCTCTCTCACCCTTTCTCCAAATGAGTGGATAGGCAGAAACCATTTTTCAAAGGGTACTTGCTCTTGACTATGGGCAAACCTTAAGATTGGACTAGATCTAAGCAAGACAGCTCCTCTCATGGCTTCAAGCTCCCCCAAGACTAAAGAGGTTTCTGGTGATTGTCAACCATTGAATTCTAGTTAAATAAAGAGTGATCATGGATTCCCAAAGTTAGAATACTCAGAGATCTAGTTTACTTCTGTTTTGCAGTTGGAAGATTAAGGTTGAATCAAGAATGGAATCAGCATTGCTTACTTTTTGCTATAATCATATGCATGTGTATTGTTTTGTTTGAGAATCTTTGGAGTTGATGTTGGGCACATAGTAGGTATTCGATACAGTGAGCTGGTAGTAGCAATGGCGGTACTGTGAATAGTGTTATAGGAGTAGTAGAAGAAATTTATAACCAAGGGAATGTTTTAAAATATTAATGTGCTCATTTTTTTTATCTGTGTATATGACTTTCACCCTAGTTTGCCTTGAGCATCCATCTGCCTTGAGGTGGAGCTGGGGGATGGGGAAGAAATCTTATGCAGATGCATGATAGGGAAGGTGTGTGCTTACATATGTGGGTAGACGTGTGTGGAGGGGTACACCTGCCCTGATGCTGGTCCTGGGACATTCTGGTTGGTATGTGTTGGCTTCTAGCATGATGGCTCTTGTCTGTGTAGCCACAGAACATCCTGCTGGTTTCAAATATTGAAGTTACAATGGTTAAACCACGGGCATTTCTCCCCACTCAACTCCTGCCCTCAGATACTGACTCACTGTCATATTCTCCACATGGCCTCCTGGCCCAGCAGTCTACTCCATTTCTTACTATGAATCTCATTAGGGCAAGCCCATGGCTGTCAACCCCGTGTCCAAATCACATGAGAACTGAGAAAGGTTTGAGAGACCTCTCTCTGCCTGATTATGCTACCCCAGCCTCTGATGCTTTTGGTCACACCTTGAGCTGGGGGAGCTTGTGTGTAATTCATTTGTGTCCATTCTGGAGCTTGATTGATTGATTGATTGATTCATTCATTCATTCACTCATTCACGGTATGCTACACGTCACAAGGTATGCCAGCACTGGAGATTCGAGAGTAAAAGGACACAAGCATAGACTGAATACAGTGGGGCTCTGAATGAAGGGTGTGATTATTCAAGAAAAGTCGGTGGTCAGTCACCTCTGACTATGGTGACTGTTCCCATCCTCTGGCGGCCTCGCCTTCAGTCTGGCTCCCTCCCACTGCATGGTACCCCGGGGCTAGGGGAAACTGAGGGCTCCCTGCAGGCGCCATGGCTGTCCAGAGTGGGTCGAGGCGTTAATGCTGCGGAGAAGCACTTGGTCTTCTAGATAAGTCAGCTAATATGGCTCATATTCCTCTCTAGTTACTGTTTTCTTCTCTCATTTCACAAATTTCTAGAAGGAAGAACAGCCAAAATATGAGGCAAACAAATACATGTACCTTTACTTTGTAGTTTTTATCATCTTTGGCTCATTCTTCACTCTGAATCTCTTTATTGGTGTTATAATTGATAACTTCAACCAACAGCAGAAAAAGATAAGTATCGGGGTTGTCCTCATTTGGTGTTTATTTCCCTTCTCCAAAGCACTTGAATGAAACATGATGCTGGTCTAGACTGTTGTGCAAAGTAGCCTTTATCATCAGCATGGGGATAAAGAGGGAACCACCTGGAAAAGATGCTTGAGGATGTGGCTGAAAAGGGACTACAAACAGCTGGGTTTAATAAACCATTGTTTTCCTCTCCATTCTACCCTTTAACACAAAGGACACTGTTGAACCCTAATAAAAAAGCAACTACGACCCTGTGGATCACGGACCCCTTTGGGAGTTGAATGATCCTTTCACACATTTCCGATGGTGATTCATAGCAGTAGCAAAAAAAAAAGCAACTACCAGGATTAGTATTTATGACACTAAAGTTATATTTTAGTAACCTTTCAAATATAACTTATTATCCAGGATAAAAAGAATAAACTCTCCTCTTCAGCAAACTTGTGCCCTGGCTCCCAACACCCAAACTCAGCAGATTTATTGAAATAACAAGGAAAGAAGATGGTTGGGGAATTGTTTTAGGGAGATTTATTTTATTTTATTTTATCATTCATAGTAAATGTGGAAGATAAAAAAGAATTAAATCACCCATAAAGTGACCACCAAATGATAACCATTTTGGATTAAGCCTCATCATTTCGGTTCAATCCCTTCCAATTACTTTCTTTCTCTTTTTTTTTTTGGTACGTGCTCCTACTGGGAACCGAACCCAGGACTCTCTGGTCCGCAGGCCGACGCTCCAACCAGTGAGCCAAACCAGCCAGGGATCTTCCAGTTACTTTCTAACTACATATTCCTTTTACACAGTTGAGATTGCATGATATTTTTAATTTTGTAGCTTTCCCTCCTTCCCATCAGTTATGAAATCATCTTTGTTGTAAGAATTTTTAGGGCTCATTTATATCTCATATTACGGATAGGTCGTATTTATCCTAATCATTCTCCCCTTTTTTGGACATTTAGGTCATTTCTAAACTTGTTGCTCTTCTAAACTATCATGGTCATTCATGAACTTCTCTTTGGGTATCTCTGATGATTTCCTCAGGATAATTTCTTAGAATTTAAGGCATTAAAGATATACTGGCAAATAACCTTTCAGAAATAGTGGGTACCCTCCTTTCGCAAGATATGAAAATGCCTCTTTGTTCTCTTCTCATCATTCTGATTTTTATAATTTTTTATCTTTTCTAGCTTAATGGATCACAGAGTTCCATATTCATTTTTTTATCATTTTTGCGGTTATCCGTGATTTCACAAGATGGTGGCCATAAGTATTTTTCTCTTAAGAATTGTTTTTAGCTTCTGTCTCTTTTTAAAATTGAGACTGTCATCTTTTTCTTTTTCTTTTTTTTCTTTATTGATTTTAGAGAGAGAGGAAGGGAGAGGGAGAGAAAGATAGAAACATCGATAAGAGAGAACATCGATTGGTCTTCTCCTACACGCCCCCCCACTGGGGACTGAACCTGCAATCTGGGCATGTGCCCTGACAGGGTATTGAACTGGGACCTCTCAGTCCATGGGACAAAGCTCAACCACTGAGCCACACCAGCCGGGCTGCCACCAGAATTTTTTATGGAACAAATCAGAGAAGAGACATCATATCATTTCATCCACAGATATTTGAGAACATAACTCTTTTTAAGCATAGCCACAATTCTATTATCATACCTAGAGAAGTTAATAGGAATTCTTAAATTTGTCAAACATCTAGTCCATGCTGAAATTTCCTGCAGTCTTTTATTTTCTTAAAATAGTTATTTATTCATTCTTTCATTGACTAATTAATTGATATTAAAGTCTGTTTCTTTTCAAATCAGGATTCAAATAAGATCCTCCCATTTGACAGCTTCCTTGCTCCCAGAAGTAATGAGCTGTTCCAGGTTTAGGTCAACCCTTCCTGCCTCAGGTTTGGAATCAGCCATGTCTTTAAGGCAGTGGATCTCAACCTGTGGGTCGCGGACCCCTTTGGGAGTTGAATGATCCTTTCACACATTTCCGATGGTGATTCATAGCAGTAGCAAAATTACAGTTATGAAGTAGCAACAAAAATAATTTTATGGTGGGGGGTCACCACATGAGGAACTGTATTAAAGGGCCACGGCATCATGCTCTAAGGAGCGCTGGCTTTTCACATAGATGGTGTTCTAGAACCAGTCTGGAATGCTCATCGTCATTGCTCCAAGGCTTTCTCAGCAGACAGAGCTACGGCAAGGTTAGGACTATTGGGAGATATATGTGGACATATGAATACTGATCACTCAAATTCAGGACTCTGGGGGTTTCATTCAATGGATACCTCTATATCTCCTCTTTTCTACACCAAGAAACCTGGTTCTCATAGGCACAGATCATAACATTACAGTTTTCCACAATCACTCATTTTCTTTATCCCACAACACACACATAGGACAGTCTCAGAAAAATAGTACTACTATCATACTGTCACAATGCATATGATGTCTGCCAAGCATCCTTAAACAACCTGGTTAACTTCGAGGGCTCTATTAAAAAAATTTTTTTTAACTTTGATACAATATACATAACACAAAATTTACCATTTTAACCATTTTTAGTGTCAAGTTCAGTGGTGTTAAATACATTCATACATTCATAATGCTGTGCAACCATCACCACCGTCTTTTCATCTTGTAAAACTGAAATTCCGAACCCATTAAACAGTAACTCCCATTTTTCTTTCCCCAGCCCCTGGCAATCACCCTTCTCCTTTCTGTCTGTATGATTTTAACTACTCTAAGTATCTCATATAAGTGGAATCAGACAGTATTTACTTTTTTGTGACTGACTTATTTTGTTTAGCATAATGTCCTCAAGTTCATTTTGTTTATTTATTATTCTGTTTGTGTCCACATATAAGTAAAATCATATGGTTCTTGACTTTTGGTCTGACTTACTTCGCTTAGCATGGTATTCTCAAGATCCATCCATGTTGTCGCAAATGGCAGTATTTCATCTTTCTGTATGGCCAAGTAGCATTCCCTTGTATATATGTATAACATCTTTATCCCATCATCCACAGAAGGAATGTAAATTGGTGCAGCCACTATTGAAAACAGTATGGAAGTTGCTAAAAAAAATTAAGAATAGAGCTACCATATGATCCAGCAATCCCTCTTCTGGGTATCTACCCCCTAAATTTGAAAACATTTATTCATAAAGATAGTTGCACCTCTATGTTCATTGAAGCATTATTCATGGAGCCAAGACATGGAAACAACTGAAGTGTCCTTTGAGGATGCACTAAATTTTTGTGAAGTTTAATTTCTCTATTTTTAATTCTGCCTTCAGTGTCATACTCAAGAAGCTATTGCCAAATGCAGTGTCATGAAGCTTTTGTCTTAATATTTTCTTCTTGGAGTTCTGTTGTTTTAGATTTTTATATTTATGTCTTTAATCCATTTTGAGTTCACTTCTATATATGGTATTAGGTAAGGATTAACTTTTATTCTTTTGCATGTGGATATCCATTTTCCTGGTACCAGTTTTCCCAGTCTTTGAAAAGACTGTCCTAGGGCTGTATGTTTTTGGTCTGTACTGGTGATGCAAATTCAAATCCCATACCCTCATCAAAGCAGGACTGGGTTCACAGATTATCAGGGAAGACAGGGTTTTTGCCCACAGTGCAGACTGAGACAGTCTCCTAGATGTCTTTCATGCCAGCAAACTCTGCTTTCTTCACCTTTTCATCGGCAGCACTTGGAGAGGCCCAGCTCCGTGCAGGGACCTTGGCATAAGCCCTCTCACTGCCTTTTCTTCCAGAACACTTGTGGTTATTAAAGCCCACGAGTCTCATCTCTACAGAGATTAGCAAGTGCCCTACGACCAGCTGCGGCTTTAGAACTGATTTACTGCTCTGTATATATATATTTTTTTTCTTTTAATTTCCAGACCCTGGAGATTTCCTTTACTTTTCTACAAGTTCAGCTATACGTTTTAAAAGGATTCTGTTCTGTTTTATCCAGATCTTTTACTTCCCCCCAGATTTCCAGAGATAAAAGTTCTACTTCATTTTTCTGTTCTTTCTTGCTCAGTAGTGAAAACATTTAAAGCTGTCTAATTTTTATTTCTGAGAATGGCTCCTGATAAATTCTATGGAATTTTATTAGTAGTGATCTATACATTCATTTATTTAAGAGGATTTTAATTGCTACTTGGTGGAATTTTTTTCTGTTTAAATTTTATCACTCATTTATATTTTCGTTGCATTGTGGTTTGATTTGTGCAATCTGACATATACCCAGTTTTGTAAAGCTTCTGTGGATGTTTGCAAAGAATGTGTAATCTTTGTTTATATTCTCAAAAGTGAAAAACAATTGATAAAAGTAACATTTCTCCATTATTCCTTAATTTATACCCTGTTTCCTTTCAGCCCTCCTCTAGGGTCTAGCCTCTTTTGTTTCCCATTATAATTTTAGGAATGATTGATAGAAGTGTAACATAACTTTAAAACTATTTCTGACCATTCAAAACATGTTTCCAAAAGTCTGTTAATAATTAACTCTCATCTTCTTCATATACTTAGGTGGCCAAGACATTTTTTTGACAGAAGAACAGAAGAAATATTATAATGCAATGAAAAAATTAGGATCTAAAAAACCTCAAAAGCCCATTCCAAGGCCTCTGGTGAGAGCAATTGATTGATTCTAAATACACAGCTCCATAAATAAGTAAATAAGTAAATAAATAAATACACAGTTCTACAAAGTGGTTATGAGGAACTCAGATGTCTACACTGCTGTTCTTCTTTACATTTAAAATCTACAGACATAATCCAAGAACTCAATAAAAACCCAGATACATTGGTGTATGGCTCAAGTCCTTAGGAAAATTAGGCACTCATATTCAATAGTAAGAGTCTGAGCAATAACTTTAATTTGCTTTTTTAAAAATTTTTTTTCTTTATTGATTTTAGAGAAGGAGGGAGAGGGAGAGAGAGATAGAAACATTGATGAGAGAGAACATTGATTGGCCGCCTCCTGCACATCCCCCACTGGAGATCGGGTCCACAACCTGGGCATGTGTCCTGATCTGGAATCCAACTGGCGACCTCGGTGCATGGGTCAACGCTCAGTCACTAAGCCATACTAGCTGGGCTTAACTTACTTTTTTAGTGAGCACACAACAGGTGCTTGGTATATATATATATTGCAATGATGTGAATTTAGTAGACTTTTTTTTTTTAATTGAATTCATCGGGGTGACATTGGACCATGCAGGTTTTAAGTGTACAACTCAACAAAACATCATCTGCACACTGCATTGTGCGCCCATAACCCAAAGCAGTTTCCTTCCGTCCCCGTCTCCTCTCCCTTTGCCCACCTCCGCCTAGCCCCCAAGCCCCTTTCCCACACTGTTGTCTGTCCCTATTAGCAGACTGTTTTAACTTCATTTTGACCAGTTTAAAATGTAGTTATAATACGTTTTGTCAACTTCTTCTGCTGTGAAGTGGAGGCCATGCACACTTGCTTTCACTTCACGAATGTTTATAGTGAACTTTCTGTGTCAGGCACTGGCAGACTTTCCTGTAAAGGGCCAGGCAGTGAATAGTTCAGGCTTTGCAGGCTGTATGGGCTCTGCTGTTTTATTTTAGCAGAACATCATCCCATCACATCAAAGTTATGTTGTTACTAAGAACTTTTTTATTTATACGCTTTAAAAAATATGTTTTTATTATTATTTTTTTTTTTTAAAGAAGAGAGAGATATCGAAACATCAATGTGAGAGGAAAACGTCCATCAGCCTCCTGCACGCCCCCTATTGGAAACTGAGCCTGCAACCCGGGCATGTGCCCTGACTGGGAATCGAACTGAGACCTCTCAGTCCATGGGATGATGTTCAATCCACTGAGCTACACTGGCAGAGCAATACATTTTTTTGTTTTAAAATAAAATGAAAGCTATAAGCCTACAGCTTAAAAACCAAATTATTTAATTAACTGTAAATGAAAATATGTACAGAAGAATTTTTTCCCTTTAAAAAGAGTCTGTGCATTAAAAAAAATTTTTTTTTTCTTTATTAATTTTGAGAGGGAGAAGGAGAGAGCAATAGAAACATCGATGGGAGAGAACATTGATTGGCTGCCTCCTGCATGCTCCCCACTGGGGATTGGACCCACAACCTCGCCAATGTATCCTGACAGGGAATCAAACTGACAACCTATTGGATGCATGGGTTGATGCTCAACCACTGAGCCACACCAGCCAGGCAAGAATTTGTGCATTTTTAAAGAAACAGCTGTAATAGTAAGAAAGATTAAATTCTATTGTATATGCTTTTTTTATTTATGTGATTTCATCCTTACAACTCAAAGTGATCTGTGATTCTTTTTCTGTTTTTTTCTCAGATCAAATGCCAGGGTCTTGTGTTTGACCTGGTCACAAACCAGTTCTTCGACGTCCTCATCATCGTCTTAATTCTCCTCAACTCGGTTTGCATGATGGCCGAATCATATGGCCAGGGTGCTGATGTGACCGCCACCCTTGAGTATCTCAACCTGGGCTTTGTGGCCATCTTCACAGTTGAATGTCTCATCAAAATCTTTGCTTTGAGGCAGTACTACTTCACCAATGGCTGGAATTTATTTGATTGTGTGATCGTGGTCCTTTCTATTGTTAGTAAGTAAAACCAGCAGCCAAAGGGGTTTTAATCTGAAAACCAGAAGTAAACTTGTAAATCTTATTATTTGGAAGTACGTCTCCAAACTATCCACAAAGCAACCAATGAGGCTTAATGTAATTTCTGAAAACAAAGATGTACTAATGCCATTCTTTACAGGGAAGTTGCTAGGAGATGCAGAGTAATTCCCATTTGCTTGACTGTTGACACAGTTGGAATAGAGAGCTCTGTAATAATGTAGGTCTTTTATTCAAAGGAGATAGACAAAATTAAGGTGACTTAAAAGTTTCCATGGGGAAGCCCTGACTGATTTTGCTCAGCAGTTAGAGTGTTGGCCTGCGGACCAAAGAGTCATGGGTTTGATTCTGGTCAAGGGCACATACCTTGGTTGTGGTTCGGTTTCTGGCCCTGGTTGGGGTTGTGTGGGAGGCAACCAATCAATGTGTCTCTCTCACATCAGTGTTTCTCTCTCTCTCTCTCCCTTTCCCCCTCCCTCACATTCTATCTGAAGATAAATGGAAAAATATTCTCTGGTGAGGATTAAAAAAAAGTTTCTGTGGGGATACCTGGTTAATCCGGTAATGGAGTCAAAATTCTACCTTTCCTGTGCAACTATAAGCCCGAATGAACATTTTATAGTTTTAAGGACTTGGCATTTAGTTTCTATGTTTTTCTTTAGTTCAAAATCCATGGATGTCAGATCACAGTTATTGTGCCCGTGACATTGTCAGGCCTTCCCCCACCCCCTGTACAAGGCCCCTGTGACCCGCCCTAGGCTGGGCTTCCACAGGTGTGGCCAAGGCCAAGCAGCACTTTGTCTTCACTCTGTGCCCTTTGCCAGCTTCCACCGCAGGGTGAACTGTGCTTCTGCCAACTGCTTGGGCCCCGCTCACTAGCCAGCCTCACTCTCAAATCAGTGTGTTTTCCCTAACCATAGGTACGATTAACTACAAGGTTTATGAAAGAAGAATGTGGGGAGAGGGTTATTGTCATATATTTTTATTCTTCATGGTAAACCATTGAGTTTACTCCAGGTTGTTTAAGCCTGCTGTTAACTAAACCAATAATTTGACTTTTTATAATTGTGTGAAACTGCCCTGGGGCCCTTCTCATAGTTCAAACAGCAGTGCAGACAATAAAAACTGATTTCACAGGTGGAGGTTTTTGTGCTATTTCAGAAAGGATCCGTTAAACAGATATGTTGGGTCAAAATATTTTGGTTCCTATCACCTCTCTGGCAGCAGTGAAGTATTCCAGAGGGCAAGGAAATGGCACAGTTCATCGGCTGTTCTGGTTTCTAAGCCATGAAGTTTATGTAGATCAAGTTTCTCAGCAGATCCTTCCATGTGCTTACAGTTAAGTAGGCCTTTAATCTTTCTTAGTCCTAATCAGAGATCCTGATGAAACTGACAGAAGCAACTATGTTAGAAAACAGTGGTAGGGCGAGTCTGCAGCAGCCTCCAAGCCTGTGGGGCCCTTTCTTCACGGTGCAGAGAGCAGCTCATTCATTCCACTGCCCACCGAACTCCTGCCAGGCTGTGCCAGGCGTCACACAGTTTGTGGAAGCATCCCCGACTCTGCCCTTCAAACAATCCTTAAGCAATTGCGGTTACACAGCATCGCGCTGGATAGCATTTTGCTCCAGTGGTTGAGGAAACATGCAGACTGAGCCCAATCCTATTCAGTGTGGCCAGCGCTGTGCATGCCTTTGCCAGCAGGTCTGCCAGGTAGCACTTCGCCTCTACACTTTCTCAAGCTCTTTCCTGAGCTCTGAGAGAAACACCAGACAAGAGTGAGTCAAGTGAATCACTCTGCGGGAGCTAACAATCCACTTGTTAAGACCTACTCACCTTAAAGAGTCAGAAAAAGATAAGAAATTAATTGAACACCAAAGTTCACAGCACACAGATGAGTCGAGCTCAGAGAGGGAGGACTACTGTGGACCTGATTGCTTGGAGAGCGGTTCGTGGAGGAGCGGGTCTAGAGAGCGGGTGCTTAGTGAGTCCACCTCTCACCGGCGGGCTGCCCAGCTGAGCTAGGGATTAAACTGCTTTGGCCCCGGCCAGTTTGGTTCGGTGGTCGGAGCGTCAGCCTGCGGACCAGTGAGTCGCGGGTTCAATTCCGGTCAAGGGCACGTGCCTGGGTTACAGTTCTTCCACGGCAGGGTCATGAGGGGGGCAGCCAGTCGATGTGTCTCTCTCAAGTCAATGTCTCTCTCTCCCTCCCTCCCACTCTATCTGAAGATGAATGGAAAAATGCCCTCAGGTGAGGATTTAAAAAAAACAAACTTCTTTGGCACAGTTGGGCATGTCATGAATTAGTTCTGTAGTCATTCAGTGACGGCAGATAGTCCTGGCTGTCCAGCACCCCTGAGGATCTCAGAGGAGGCCAGAGCAAGGCACGTCCACAGGCAGGCAGCCCCAGCCATTCTCTCTCACTCGGGCCGGACGTGCATTGTCTTCAACCTGTTCCACTTGCCCTCAGAGTAAGCAGCGAGAGAGCAGGGTGACATTTCAGGCTAAATATCAGGCAGTTTGCAGAAAGTTTTGCTTGAGATGCCATTTCTGGGATAGCTACACAACAGAGAAAGTACCTCCAGTTTAGTCCCTTAAACTTTTTGAGTTTGGACTTCAGAAGTCCTTGGAATTCACATATTAACAAATATAAGAGAAACACAGCAGCTGTAGCCCAAAGATGAGCATTCTGACACCACCTCCAGCCCTGACCTATGGCAGGCTGTGTTCAAACTTCTTCGTCCAGATGAGAACCTGTCCCCTTAGGGAAATTTGAGGTTAGGGGTTCCACAATTTCCACTGATAGCTTGGGCTCCAGCCAGCCTTCGTTAGCAGAAATTTGTCTTTGCACTCCATCTGTCGTTTCTCTGTTTGCATCCTGTACAGCCAATAAATGTGGAACACTATTATATTGTCACCCCATGATTAACTTTAAGTAACCAAAATAGACAATGTACTTCAAGTGCATGAGATAACTCACAAAATAGCCTTTCATAAGCTGCATTTTCTTTCCTTTTTGGGTCTTTAATATTTTAGACATCCTATCCCATCTAAAGTAGCACCTAAAACTGTATGGCTCTTGGAAATTATTTTCCAAGTTAAGGCACAGATAGATACTTTCCCTTATATGGCTAAAGAAAATTCTTCTTTTTGTGCATACATTAAAAAGTATTGATGAAAGGAAGACAAAGAACCCAATTTAAAAATGGGCAGAGGAACTAAATAGACACCTCTCCAAACAGGACATACAAATGGCTAAGAAACATATGAAGAAATGCTCATCATCACTAATCATCAGAGAGATGCAAATTAAAACAACAATGAGGTATCACCTCACACCTGTCAGAATGGCCGCCATCAACAAATCATTAAACAACAAGTGTTGGCGAGGGTGTGGAGAAAAGGGGACTCTAGTGCACTGCTGGTGGGAATGCAGAATGGTGCAGACACTATGGAAAACAATATGGTGTTACCCAGAGACGTGGGAGTGGGGTACAGACTGACAATCCCCAGAAGAGGGGGTTCTGGGGGAGAGATAAACCACAGAACTTATATGCATGTATGCATGAACAGTGGACATGGACAACAAACTGGGGATAGGGCAGGGAGGGAGGGGGAAGGGGGAATCAGTGGGGGGAAAAGGAGAAAATCTGAAACAAAAATTAATTAATAAAAAAATAAATAAAAGTTCTATGAAAAATCAAAAAATAAAAAAGAAGTAAACATGAAAACACGGCTCTAACTGTTCATCAAAGGCACAGGCATTTGATCAGGTACACATATATGACTGGGGGTCCTGATTTCTGCATAAATGCCAAATTTGAGTTTCCAGGATTTAATGACAATTTCCAGGGTTTTAATAATAGAGACTCCAAAGGTTTGTTAGACTTCAAATGTCCTTAAAATGTTTTTTAAGTTAAGTGTAAATGAATAAAAAACATATGCATTAAAAAAAAAAAAAAAGGTATTGATGAAAGTTGGTCCCACTAAGATTCGAAGGCGAGAGAGACAGGCTGGGTTTGAAACCGGTGTGCTTGCTGGAAACTGACCGGCTCTTCTCCTTCTCCTAAGGTACAATGGTTTCCGCCTTGGAAAAGAGTGATCACATTCCTTTCCCCCCGACGCTCTTCAGAATTGTTCGCTTGGCTCGGATCGGCAGGATCCTGCGGCTTGTCCGCGCAGCGCGGGGCATCAGGACCCTCCTCTTCGCTCTGATGATGTCCCTTCCCTCTCTGTTCAACATCGGCCTTCTCCTCTTTCTGGTTATGTTTATTTATGCCATTTTTGGTATGAACTTTTTTGGCGGAGTGGAGTCAGACTCTGGCATTGATGACATATTCAACTTCCAGACGTTTGCAGGCAGCTTGCTCTGTCTCTTCCAGATCACCACCTCAGCAGGGTGGGATACCCTCCTCAACCCCATGTTGCAGTCGGAAAACAAAACATACTTCTACACACAGCTCCCGACCATAGCCGTGACCTACTTCGTCAGCTACATCATCATCTCCTTTCTCATTGTTGTCAACATGTATATTGCTGTGATTTTAGAAAACTTCAATATAGCCACTGAAGAGAGTGAGGACCCTTTGGGTGAAGACGACTTTGAAATGTTCTATGAAGTCTGGGAAAAGTTTGACCCAGAAGCAACACAGTTTATCAAATATTCTGCCCTTTCTGACTTTGCCGATGCCCTTCCCGAGCCTTTGCGTGTGGCCAAGCCAAATAAATTTCAATTTCTAGTCATGGACTTGCCCATGGTGAGTGATGATCGCCTTCACTGCCTGGATATCCTCTTCACTTTCACCACCAGGGTCCTCGGTGACTCCAGCGGCCTGGACAGCATGAAGGCCATGATGCAGGAGAAGTTCATGGAAGCCAACCCTTTCAAGAAGTTATATGAACCCATCGTCACCACCACGAAGAGGAAGGAGGAGGAGAGATGTGCGGCCGTTATCCAGAAGGCCTTTCGAAAGTACCTGGTGCTGATGAAGAAAAACAAGTGTGCCTTGGAGGACGGGCCTCATCCGCTGCCCCAGACGCTCTGCAATGGAGACTTGTCCAGCTCTGGGGTGGCCGAGGGCAAGGTCCACTGTGACTGAGCCCTCACTGCCACCCCTACCTCACAGCCTCGCCTGCAGCCTCAGCCCCAGGGATCCACAGCTCCGTGCAAACAAATGGTGGACTCGCGGAACTGGCTATTCCGTTTCTTCTCTGGCTGAAAGAAGTGATATTTCAAGGTTCACTTCAAATGGTTGTTACACAGCTGTGAGATAAGGCTGCCTGACTGCCATGGGCACTGTTTTCATGAGGAGGAAGACACGAGAAGGCTGCACGGGGCACACTAACATCAGGACCGAAACACAGTTTAAACTATGTCAAAACAAAACAAGAAATGCAAAAAACACATTAAAACTTTAAATGTGTTTTTCCATATGTTTTGAGGTACATTATCCAATACCTTTGTTTAATGTTTTCCCCAATGCAAGTATGTGGCTTGTCACATAGAGTTCTTTTGCATGCTAAGTAAAAGTTCAAATATGCCAATAAATAAATAGCTCACTGTAGATATTTTTACCAACATTAAATATTTTGAGTTTACTTCAAACCTAAAAGCATGATCTTGACTTGTCAATTATTACCATATCTTTCACCAGCTACAATCTGTTATATATATTTGGATAAATAAATAAACCAACAAATAAATGAGACTTTCATTTTGCATTTTGTTCAGAGAGTACACTAAAAAGCCTCTTGTTCGGCGGTTGTGTAAGCAGTGGTTTAAATGTGGCGCATTGCTTGGAATTAAAGATGGAAGCAAGTGGTATACTGATAAGGGTTTAACAGTTAGTTTTTCAGGAGGAAAAAAAAAGCAAGCCAAGATTTGTAGCATTTACTGATCTCTGTGGTGAATACTTCCATCATGGCTGATTTCAAGCTCCCAACATGATGCTTCTGAACATGGACTTGGGAAGAAATGTCTGCCATCGGGCCTCGTGAGCTGGCCCGAGCTGGCCCCAGCACATGGCTGGCTGGAACCAGTAAGAAAGTCTCACTGGACTCTGGTTAAAAAGCCACAGTGGGCACCTTCGGCAGAGAGAGCACTCTCTTAGCAGTACCTGTACCCCAGGATAGGGACGCCAGGGGACATCCCTGTTAGCTGCTAATCTTAGCCATGTGATCAGTCCTCCACCTAGTTCTGGCTGGGTGTCTGCATGAAATGCAGCTCAGAGAACAACCCAGGTCTATCAAGAGGGCCTGGACCCAGGGTTAGTCTAGGACCTCCTTAAAAACTGGAGACCAGAGGTCAAATAAGACATTAGGCTGCCAACCCCCAAAGAGACTGGACTGAGGGCAAAGAACCCACATTGTGATCATCTAAGTGTGGAGGAGAACCCTGCAGAAAGACCCTGGAATCCTCTACCTCAGACAGCCTGGAGGAGCTGATGTTTCTTTCAGTCTGAGGTCTGACTGCTCCTGACTGTCCAGTGGAGGGGAGGCCAGTGCCGGGCACTGTGGCGCACTGAGGGGTGATTATTTTCAGTGTATATGAGATCTAACTGAGACTCAATGTATTCATGTCCAGGGGCCCGAGTTTCCTGAGTTTTGTAGGCATACTTGCACTCTGGAGTATTGGCAAGAAGTAGTAATCTCATTATCTAATCGTTGTCAATATCTAATTCTTACTTAGCAGCTGCTGGGCACCGGGCACTGGCTAAACATTTGTCATGGATAATCTCATTTGGTCCTCGCAATAACCGGCACTCACCTGGTGGAGCCTGAGCCTTGCTGCTGTGCCAGGGGTGGGGGAGTGGGTGCCCCAGAAGCAGTAAACCTTTGAGACACAGCTACGGGGGCTCCCATGCAGGGTTGCAAGGGCCTGTGGGAAATATCGGTTCTAATGTTATGGCCAGTTCTGTGTGAGGCACTGGAGATGACCTGTGTCTTCCATAGAAGATGCCTCTGATCATGAACTCTGCGTGTTTTACAGATCCCTACCACATCTTCTGAAAAGGATGACTGGCCATCTTCCCAGTAGGGTTACCTCCTGAGTGGAAGTAGAAGAAGATCTGGGAAGAGATGGTCATGCCCATTCCAGATGATCATTTAGGGGCTCAGATAGGATAGAAGCCTTGGCCCTTCCCACAGACACCTGTTCACCTCCAGATGGTCCCCTTCTGCCAGGGCTGGCTTCCTAGAGTCAGCTCCAGGGGGAGCACCGGGTCTGCTTGGCTTTCGCAAGAGGATGCATCGTACTTCCTTCGCTAGATGGCAGCAAAGGCCCCACCATGTTCTTTTCTGAGCGCACACAGCATTTGCGGGCAACGAGCTGGAAGTCTAAGGGGAGCCAAGGCAGGAAATGGTGTTATCCGAACCCTGGAAGGGTGCTAGAAAGCTCATACTCCCCAGAGACAGCTCTCACTGGGCCAGTACCCAGGATACCAGCAAGGGGCAGAGAGGCGGGTCCGAGCTCTGTCCCACTGGGGCCACACTAAATGTCCATGGCAAACAGCCTTACAGGCACACGAGGCCCATCCCCTTCTCCTCAGTCATCTTCTCCAGGCAAACCAGTCCCCATCAGTTCGATCCACAGACATGCCCTGAGGGCCAGAGCGGTACCACCTGGTGTAAACTTCTAACCACTGGCCCTCAACCTCAAGAGCATAAATGCTAATTGGGAGAATTAGATAAGTAAGTGTTCATGGGATGATAATACCTTGCAGAGTCACAAATGCCATAAACCAAGGACACACCTCTGTACCGTGAGTGTGAATGGAGGTAGGCTCTCCGGAAGGCTTCACCAGAGAGACTGGCATCGAGATGCGCTGGGCAGATGTGGGGCTGTGTCCGGGAGGTGGTTACTGGAGCGGAAGGAGTGGAGACGGTGCAGGACCCACGAGCTACCCACGGACTGGCCGCCAGCATAGAAGTGGAGCAGCTGAGTCAGCCATGGACTGTTTTGTGGGGAGCCTGAAAAGCCGGAGTGAGGGGTCCTAACAGATTTAGGTGGCAGGGAGGCACGGACGGTGTTTGTGCAGGGGAGAAAACTCACCCAGACAGAGTATGCAGGGGGAAGAGGAGAAGGAGACCAGAATACTGGGCCTGGTGGGGAAGAGGAGCCCAGAGAGGGGGAGGCAGGGGGCAATGTTCGGGGTCCAGGATGCTCATGCCCAGTGGCTGGCCGTGGGGGAGGAGCCTAGGGGACCCTCAGAAGATGTGGTCAGGGTGACGAGATAAAGGGCAGGACATGTTCCCAGGTTAATGAGAATAGGAGGGGCAAGGTTGGTTTGTTTATTTATGTTTATTTTCATGGCTAGGGGGACAGAACATTTGTAACTTAATTCAGTTTTGAACATTTTGAATGTTTAATATGCCAAGTCCATGTGACAATGTCCAACCAGGCCTGGAACTTGAGGCCAAGGCGTGGAGAGGAGTCCTCAGCACAAAGGTGACATGCAAGCCCCGGCTCCCCAGCAGATGAAGTCGGGGAGGAGCAAGCATACAGGTCTAGAGGGGCAGAGGACTCGCCCTCGGGCAGGCTCGAAGGGAAGTAAAGACAGGAGACAGCTTAGGGGCCCGTGTGGGGGGAGGTAGGTGAAGATAAACACCACACTACGCAGTGTGGGCACAGAGCAGGCATCACGAGAAATTCACAGCCAACAAGATGAGATACACGGTCCCACTCTTCATCCCTTCCACCAAGATGCGCACAGGAGCCAGGGCACGGCGGGGTCGTGTTGCAGGAAAGGGCCCCACTCCCTACTCCTTGCCTGATAAACGACCCAGGCGCAGGAGGCAGCTGTCCCCAGAGCTGTCTTGGAATGTCAGCTACTAGCGCCCAGCGCCCTTGAGGAAGTTGAAATCCTGTACAGCTACTCCTGCTCAAGGAGGGGGAGCCACTGGTCCCAGATAGCTTGTTGCCTGGCAACCCAGGTAGAGCCTCCAGGGTCATTCAGTGGGCAGTCCTGTCCCTCACTGCACGAGGAGTAATCAAAGAGGCGGCGAGGACACAAGTGCTAACATTTATTGAGCACTTAGTCTGGACTCGGTAGCCTCTTTACTGGTATTACCTCCTTCCATCTTCATAACAGCTCTGTTAAAGAAAGATAAACTATTTTCAATCTTCATTATTCTGATGAGAAAACTGAGGCATGTGGCGGAACCGGGAGGCTTGTCCAAGGCCACAGAGCCAATAAATGGCCCTGACAAGGCCCCAACTCAAGTCGTCTAGCTTCAGAGCTCAAGCTATTGACCACTGCACCACACTGCTCACGGGCAGTTGAGGTTGCAGGGAGGGTACCGAGTTTCCCTGGTAACCTCTGCAAACCTTTCACCATCCATTTCTTCTCCTCCGGAGATCACGCGTGTCCTCAGAGTCCTGACTTGGTGGAGGCACCCTCTGCATGGGGAGGTGCTGCACTCCGTCTCCAAATGTAACACCCTCAGTTCTGTCGACGTACTCAACTCCCTAATATCTGGTGTAGCTTCCATTCTTCTACAGTCTGTCCTTCCTTCTCCAGGCGAACCCTGGTTCACCCTTCTCCTCCAGCCTCTGTGCCCAGGGCGCTGAGGGGCTACCCCTCCTTTGGGACATAGTCTATGTTACCTCCATTAACGTAGACTTTAAGTTTGCTGGTCTGACAGAGGTGGTGCCAAGAGGGATCATGGAGGTGCTGATTTAGTTTCCCTTGATCTCCACCCCAACCCAAGCAACCCTGGACGATCCCACAGTACAGTTCAACGCATTGTGTCTGTGTTGCCAAGTCCTCTTTTCCACGCTCCAAGCTCTTTCCATGATTTTAAAATCACCTCTGGAGCCAAATCACACTGATGGCTGGTACTCGGCTTTCTCCCAGCTTTATTGAGGAATAATTGACAAATAAAAGTTGTGTATCTATGGTGTGCAATATAATGGTTTGATATGCATATACCTTGTGAAATTATTACTGCAATCAAGTCCTATAGTGCTGAGAAAACTTATGGTCGACTCTTAGCAAACTTCTAGTATACAATGCAGTATTAACTATGGTCACCATACTGCATATTAAATCCCCAGAACTTATTCATCTTATAACTGGAGGTTTGTCTCCTTTGATCAACA